GTATGATGTTCTTCATTAATGGTAGGCAAAGGTTTTGCTGGGGGAAAAATCAAGGTATGCCTAGGTAAGCCTGCTGACCAAAGTGTTATATTGGTAAAGTTTTTGGGCACATTTACTGGACTTGGTAATGCAGAAAGACTTCATAAATATTTTGCTGAGAATGAACATGGTAGAGAAGAATTCGAGCGAAAAACTTCCAACAGCAGCAATGTTTCGGAAGCAGGGATAGAGGGGGATAAGTTAGAGGAGCAGCTTCTATATGGGTACATGGGCATAGCAGATGACTTGGACAGACTGGACTTTAATACCAAGAAATGGATTACAGTGAAGAGCAAGAAAGATATTGAGGACCTGGAGAATGCTCCTGTTAAAACTGATGATAGGTAGTCTCTCAATGATAGATTTAAAGAGTGCCCCTACTCAACCAGCCGATGCTCTGGTTGGATTCCTCTGCCGACTTTGACAACTACTAACTTATAAGTGTTGATTGCATGTAACAAAGAAGATACCAAAAAAAACTTTGCTATGGAGAGGGAATTTATGTGCAAAAGTTTGCTATATTAGTTATAGCCAGATGCTATTGTAAAGCTTTGTACACGGATTTAACTTCAAATAGCTCTGTTATGATACTTTTTATTTAGAAAAAAAACCAATATGTAATATATTTTATGATATTGCCTCTTGCACTTATTCTGTTATTATGTGTTCTGTATATGATGTGAAATTTATTTTGCATTTTCTGCTGTCTCTCTGCACTTGTCTGCACTGCTTGATAAGTTATTTCATGTATCAGTGTACTCATTTGAGACTCAGAAAATAAGTATGGCTGGAATTGGGTAAGCTGAGACCGAAACTGTAGGCTTGAGATTCCTCTCATGATTCTGGAACTGACAAAGTTAAGTTTGATTTCAGTTCCAGGGGACGAGGAACCAGCCCTGACAGTAGTCTGGCCCTAACAGGATTGGAAAGTAATACTAAAAAGTTCGAATTGAAAACAATTCTTTGATTGTTCTTCAAAATAAAAATAGTAATTAATTTTCTCGATTTGTTTAATTTTGATTACTTTACTGTTATTTTTTTAAAAAAAATTGCGCCCACTAAAATTAATTTTCTCGTTTTTTTTTTTTTATTTTAAATTTTGCTATTTAGTTATAGCTAAATGCTACTTCAAGCTTTATGCACGCTTGATTCTACAAATCTTTCGCATCTAGACAATTGTTAGCTTAGATGAGAGGTTATAGATCTTATGTGCATTATCAAAGGCTATAATTTTCCGTGTATAGGATAAAAACACACCACTCTCAAAGTCCAAAGACCTATTCCATTAGATCTGAGTGAGGCTGAAATTTCCAATATCAATGATAAAAATCCAGACATAGACAGTAACAACATATAATAAATATACTTAAAAGCATGTTCGGCAAAATTAGTTGTTTTAGTAGCGTTTAACTGTTTTAATAGTCAGTTGCTATTTGAGTAATTTTTTTTTAAATGTTAATCTTTTATAAAATGCTAGTTTAATTTTTAAAAGCAGTTCAAACTCTATGCCTACCGAATATTATAAAAAATAGTATTCTTAAAAAATATCTAAAAGCTAATTCAAACGCCGTGTTATCGAACATTATAAAAAATAACATTCTTAAAAAACTATTGTTGGAACAAAAAAAAAATGTTGGAAACAATAAAATGATGATAACAGGTCAGAAAGAAAGTAGACAATCAACCAAATAAGAAAAAAAAAGCTTTCAATTAAATGAATTAGAGAACAAAAAATTGGAAAAAAAAATACAAATAATTAATTAATGTTACACAATATTCATTTCTTGTCTTTCTCCATATTGGTTTTATGAAACTAATACAAACTAGCCAACTTGTCTTGTCTGCAAGTATCTATCTTCTCTGGAAGTTGAGGAACTTGATTCCATAGGCAAAGACAAACAAGAAAAGGAGCACAAAACCAATATGGGCGGCTATAACTGCTCCAAGAAAATCATATTCAAATCCTAAGTATTCTTTTAGGTAATCTTTCACTGACATGAATCCAACTCCAGGTACTTCTACATTTTCTGATATTTTCCCCACTTGTGATGTGATCAAACCATATATTGTCCATGCTGTTGGTGAAGCCCAGTAGTACCATCTCCACCATATTGGTATTTGCTGTTATTTTTTTTTACTCTAGAGGTTAGATTTCATTTTATAATACCCAAAACAAAGATAAAATACACATGAAAAGAACTGTTTCAGGGTTTGTTCTTCAAAATTAGTTATTTTAGTAGCGTTTAGCTGTTAGTTATTCTTTTTATAGAACGTTAACTAAAAGTTACATTAGTTAACTTTTTATAAAATGTTATCATAACCTCTAATAAGACACTATGTTACCGATAGTATAAAAAATTACGTCCAGTCTAAAAAGCTACTTACTGTTGTCTAACATATCCTTAAAAAGTTGTTTCAAATCCTTCTGTTAGAACTTGATTTATGTATATAGAGAGAGAGCTTTTTCAGGAGTTGTCTTAAGAACTGTGAGGTTATGAATTGAAACCCTGTTAGAACAGAGTTGTCTTAAGAACTGTGAGGTTATGAGATTGAACCATGGTAGAACTAATTAACAAGAAAGAAAAAGATAATGTCACGGTAAGAGTTGAGTAGCTTGCATATACATACCGTCCTTGGAATGAGGAAGCCAGAGAAGAGGTTCCAGAAACTGAGGAAGAAAGACATAACAATAGCAGCAATTTGATGGCCTGGAGTGAGAGCAACAAGCATCATTCCATACAATGTGAAGTACATAAAGCACATGAATATGAAGAAGTAGAACCACAAGAAGTTGTCTGCTCTCCATTGGAACCCAATCATTGAGTATAGCAATAAACTATAGATCAATGTCTGAATTGCAACATAAATTGCCTCTATAGCAACCTGTAAAATACCATAAATATTATATAAGAATTGCATTATATTCTAAATCTCCTCTTCTTTTTATTTTTTCTTTTTAGAAAATTTACTTTACCTGAGCACATGCATAAGGTAATTCTGAATACATTCCAGCAGCCTTTTCTCGGTAAAAGACTGTTCGTTCTACTGACACAATAGATAACACTGAGGAAGTGTTGGTGGCTCCAAGGAACATTACAGCAGAATACATTGCTCCCAACAAGTTGAAAAGATCTTGTTGCTTTTGTCTGTAAACATTGGAGCTCACATTTACTTCTTAGATGAATTCACTAATTAACATTGAATCTATTTTTTTCAAAAAGCACAATTTTTTATCATATATTATTACATAAACATTGAATCTTACGTCTTTTGGCCTTTGTCCCAAAAAATAAGTCCAAATATAACACCAACTGTTACTGTCATGAACAATCTGATAGCATTATATCTTGGATTCTTCCAATAAGACCAATGTTGTTTTAGGAAGCAAGCTTTGCATTGAGTAAAAAAGTCTTGGGAGTATTGTGTAGGGAAATAAAGATCTTTAGACCCTGGCGCTGGAGTGCTTAGTTCTTCAATGAGTTCTTGATTCTTCCTGGTAAAGAAAAAAATAAAGTGTAATAGTGTAAATAACAGCTATCAGCATAACTAAAAGAAAGTTTCTCGAACATCAAATGAAGGAGAAGAAGAAATCAGTGAAGAGGCACAAATGGGTAATTCTTACTGGTAGAGTTCAGAATTTGCATAAACTTCTGCAAAATCTACATTGAGTTGAGTCTCAACTGCATTAGAACTGATTTCTAACATCCATGTAGCAGGATTATAACCATTTTTTATTTTAGGAACTCCAGGGACAGCCTGAAAGATGTTATAGAAATTAATGGACTCTAGTTTTATTTTCTAGTACATCAAACAAATCCATTTTTATGATCAATACTCACTTCAAAGTATTCTATAAGTTTGTGGGAGTGGCGGCCAAGGGGTCCGGCGTAGATGACTTGTCCACCTCTCTTCATCAGTAACAGCTACAGACAATGTAACATTAAGCCATCAAGAAGCATTCTGGCTATTTAGAAAAAAAAGGAAATAATTAAAGAATCATAACTACCTCATCAAAAGCTTCAAAAATATCAATGCTCGGTTGGTGAATTGTGCAGACAACTGTTCTTCCTGTATCAACTGTATTCCTTACTGTACGCATAACAATTGCGGCAGCTCTAGCATCAAGGCCAGAAGTTGGTTCATCCATGAAAATAATGGATGGATTAGCAACCAACTCAACAGCTATAGTTAGTCGCTTTCTTTGCTCAGTCGACAAGCCATCTATTCCTGGAATGCCTACTATGAAGTTCTTTAGTGGGTTTAGCTCAACCAATTCCATTACCTCCTCAACAAACATCTGCAGCGTAAAAAGATTAAAAATCAAGTTCTGCACTTAAACCTATACATGGAAGTAAGCAAAAAAAAAAAAAAAGGAATGAAGAGCTTGCTTGCCTTTCTAGTTACAGTCTTGATTTCCTTAGCAAGGCGCAGCCAGGCGGAGTACAAGAGGGATTCATAGACAGTAACATGTGGAGAATGGATATCATTCTGTTCACAATAACCACTAATTCTAGCAAAAGTTTCTTGCTTTTTAGGATAACCGGAAATGCTAATACTTCCTTCAATGTATCCTCCAGTTTTCCTTCCTGCTAATACATCCATTAGTGTAGTTTTGCCAGCACCACTTACACCAACTAATGCTGTTAGAATACCAGGCCTAAAAGCACCACTAACATCTCTTAACAGTTGGAGGCGATCTTCTTCGACTCCTTGGCTTCTCATTTCCTGATGATTAAATTAATTTTGTAGAAATTAATGTATGTGAATTGGAATATGAAAAGACAAAGAATGAGCAGAATTACTTACAGGAGGCATATCCACATAATAATTCACATGATCAAATGCTAGAGACAAAGGCTGGAAGGGTAAAACCATTCCTCTTCTTGTAGGCGCAGGCTCTGCAGATGTAACAGATGGCCGTTCAGGAGTGTTCCTCACTGCCATATCAGTACCTACAGCAACAGACATAATCAATTGAACTATTAGTAGTTCCTTTTAAAAAAAAAAAAAATTAGTAGAGATGAAGATCAAATACTATAAAGATGTGACCTTGGTGCAACGGGGCGGTCGAGAATGAGATCATTTCAGTAGACTTTGTTTGCTGTTCAACAGAGGATGTCTTCTTCTTATTTTCACCATCATCAAGAATAGAGGATTTATTATCTCCCAAAGCTGCAATGATTTTCAAACATATATAAAGTTTCAATTTACATAATTGAACAATTATTTAGTACATGAGAATCCATTGCTTACGGTCCAAATATGTCAGAGCCAACACGAAAAGGATGTTGAAAAGCAAAGAAAATCCCACAAGTGCTCCAACAGAAATCCAATACCAATGTTCTTGCAAGAACATGCCTCTCATTTTAAGCAGAACCTGTCCTACTGTATGTTCTGTTGTGCCATTATAAGCCTGCATTGCATAAGGAAAAAGGAGCATAAATTAATATCAGCAAGTGTAGAACAAGAAATGAATTCTTGCATTATATATATGATTTGGAAAATCTTACAGAACTCCATCTTTCATCTAAAAATTCATTGATGAATATAGCATTCTGTCCATACATCATCGGAGAAACGTAGTAGCCCCATATCATCCATGGTTCAATATCATCTGCAATAAAATAATGGTAAAGAATGAATGGAGTTAACTTCGCTACTGGAAATTACACACAAGCCTCATGCGCTTCAAAGAAACATATACAAAGAATAGAATGAAATTAAGTATGAACCTCTAGCAATAACAAATCCACCAAGCACAAAAACCACAAGCAGTGTAAAGGTTCCAAGTGTGTTGGCTATAACTTCTGTTCTTCCAATTGCAGAAATGAAGCGAAAGAGTGATAAAGCCATCTGATGCACACTGAAGAATGCTAGAAATTGTTTGAAAAACCTGAAAATTTGCAATGTTTCAATATATACACGTAGTAGTGTAATATATACAATATTTCAATAAAATTTGCGCGTACCTACTCGCAGCTGGAGCAAATCCAATAGTGTAATAGGTGAGGATTATCCATATCCCAGACTCCATTAAGGAAATGGGGATTCTAAGAACCCAAATTGGTAATGCAAAAGCCCATGCTGGATAGAACAAGAAATCCCTTTGCTTATAAAATACAGGAAGCCTAAACATTGTCATTGCCATTTCTGCCATTCCATTGAACATAACATTAATAAGACTGAAAAACAATGCTCCATAGAATTTTCCTCCATCTTGTACACTTCCAACTTGCATTTTGGTCCTTAAAAACACTGTCATGGCAATTAGTGACATGATTGTAATCTGAGTGGTCTTAAATATATAAACAAAAGAGTTTCTCTTCATTAATAGCAACTCTCGTGCAAAACATGCTTTGAAGAGTTCCCAATTGGAGATTCCATACTTGTCTTTCTCTAATGCAGCTGGATGTGCTTTAGCTTTATCATAAGGAACTCTAAGCTGTTCAGAAAGATCCTGACCTATATGAAAAGACTTGAACTTCTCTGAAATTTCAGATACTGAAACATATTCATAAGATTGGTCTTTTTTGCACCAGTACTGTTCTTGATCTTTCTTGGAAGTTACTTCTTGCAAGAAATCTGCAACTCCTTTTCTTTCTGGACATTTGAAGCCAATAGTTTCAAAGAATTCAAGGACATTCTCTCTAGGACCTTGGTAAACAATCTGACCCTCTGACAGCAAGATGATGTCATCAAATAGTTCATATGTTTCAGGTGCTGGCTGTAGAAGAGAGATTACCATAGTCACATCCATTATATGAACCATTTGCCTCATAAACCTGACAATTTGAAAAGTTGTTGAACTGTCTAAACCAGTTGATATTTCATCCATGAAAAGAGCTTTTGCTGGTCCAACCAACATCTCTCCTGCAATCAGTATACATAAATTTATTTACAAAAAATAACATAAATTAAACACTTCAAAATCTAGAAACTTTTGTTTTAAAGTTAATAGAAAAGTCTTCAATCATCATTTCTTTATCAGGAACTAAGTCACAAAATAGAAAATTTTCCTAAAAATACTATGCAATTTTTGAGAAATATTCGGAGCAGAAACAATCCAATTTATAATTTTATATAGTATAAACACACCTGTAGTGACACGTTTCTTTTGTCCACCTGATATGCCTCGTCTCATCTCATCACCAACCATAATATCAGAACAGATGTCTAATCCAAGAATCTGTTAACACCAACCTTAATGAGTAAAAGCTTCAGGAAACATCAACTATAAATAGTATAGTCTAGATAAATAATGACAATGCAGGGAACAAATTAAACCTTAAGAACATAATCAGTGACTAGACTGCCTTCTTGGCCTTCAATTGCTGTAGCTTTCATGAAAGCATCTATCTCAGGATCTGGTTTTATTCCTGCTTGTTTTTCTCTTCTTGATAACTCTGCTAACATTTCATATCTAGTTCCAACTCCCAAGCATCGCCCTGAAAAGTTTAATGTCTCTCTTACTGTCATCTCCCCATGGTGAAGATCGTGTTGGCTTATATAAGCACAGGTTCTTTGAGGAACAAATTCATGCAGTTCATGACCACAGTAAGTGACTTTTCCTGATACCTGTCCATGAAAGGCACGTAGATGGCTAAGCCAGAGTTGTGAACTGAAAAAATGCTCTTTATTACATTGCATTATAGCATACTAAATATAGCCTTACATCAATAAATTTATTAAAAGATGGTGTTTGTAAATTAAACATTTTACATATCTCAATAGAAAAAAGAAGAAAGAAACAGAACATATGTACCCTTAGATCCTTGTCCATTTTCCCTGCAAGTGCCTGAAGCAATGTAGTTTTGCCTGATGCCGGAGGTCCAAGAAGCAGTGTCATTCTGGAGAAAACAAATAAACAGGAACAACAAACTATTATTTCTTTAAAGAATAAGGAATTTAAAAAAAAAAATTGTCAAATTTCACACTACAAGATGCAGAAGAAAATAAATACTATTGTGAAGTACCTTGATGGTTTCACAATTCCACTCACATCATGAAGTATCTTGACAACCCTTTTCTTAGAAGGGAAAATTCTAAGAAATCCAAGAATTCCCTATTCAAAAATAAATAAATAAAAGATTTCATTACTTCAATAACAGTATCATCAACTAATAGCCCCTTATTGAACTGCATATACATCATATTTCACACTGCAGATTGCAGAAGAAGAATTGTACAGCTAAATATACACAAATAACTTGTAATGTTGAATTAAGAGTAAAGATCTATAATGAATAGTTGAATTAAAACAAAATACCTTTATTTGACACATAATTAACAGACAGAACAACGTACCTCAATTGTGTTCATGGCAACATTGACCAAAGTTGGAAGTGCCCTGGTTCCAACATATGCATCTCCTTCTACTGATAAATGCTCGAACCGGACTTCAATCTTAGGAATGTCAATTCCCACCCTATGTTTTTTTTAATCATCAAAATAATAAAAATTCAAAATTTGACAAAAACAAGCAGCTAATTAACACTTCAATATCATATTTTATATATATATATATATATATATATATATGCATGGACTGACCTATCAGTTCTTTCCCTAAGTCTAAGAAGAAACCTCTCGTTATCTTCTTCAACAACTTGAAGTATATTTTCCATTATTTGCTTCTTATCTTGCATGCCAAGATTAGTAACATCAATCTCTTCATAGTCAACTTTTCCATTATCCAAAACTTGCTTCAATATTCCTTTCCTTAACCTATCATAAGTTGGCAATCTCTCTATTGCAGCCCATTTAAGCTCTTCTTCATCATCATCCGCTCTTTGGCTTGTTCTAAAAACATCTCCTTGAGTATTCCAAACTTCGCGAATACTAGCTGATGCCCAACTTCTTTTACTCGCTGATGATAAACTTCTACTCATCGATCGGCTGCTCATTGACCTCATTGATCTCGCAAGCTCATCTCTTACTGATCTTGCAAGCTTCTCATCAAAAGGCGTAGCCATGGAAGAAAAGTAGCAACAAGAACCTGAAGATAGTTATCAACTTTGCCACACCACAATGTTGGTTGTGATCATATGCAAGAACCTAAAAGGACTAATAATTGCAAAATGTTTAATTCTTTGGGTTTAAATTTTTATTTGGAGAACATGGTTATATGTAGGTGAAGATGGTTTCAAGAAGACAGAAATGGGTATTCAGAGATACATAATTTTGTCAAGTAAGAGAATTGATTAATAATTATTCTATTTCATGGAGTTTAGTTTGTGTTCTTATAGAAATCTAGGACGGCCTATAAGAGACAATTAATGAGATATTATAGGTAACTGAAAGACATATTGACCAAATAATACAGTTGCATAAGGACAAGCATCAGGACGCCTAGGATAAATTGCATGTCTGCTAGAAATTGTTTACAAAAATCTCCTGAAGACTTACGTACGCTAGGTGTATACACCCAATAAATATAATAACGCAATTCGTGAGCTTTTCTGAATATACATAAATAAAGTTTTCGAAGTAATTATTAGAGTAATAAGCAATGAATAGTAGCTAATTTCTATATCCAAAGACTTATCTATATAGAAATTATTTTCTTAAATAAAAACATCTTTAAAAGCACTTTTTTTTTTTTTTTTTGTTTGGTTGTTTCTTATAGAAATCTAGGACGGCTATAAGGACAATTATGAGTATTATTATAGGTAACTGGAAAGAATATTGAACCAAATAATACAGTTTGGCATAAGGACAAGCATCAGGACGCCTAGGATAAATTGCATGTCTGGCTAGAAATTGGTTTTACAAATCTCCTGAAGACTTACGTACGCTAGGATTGTATACACCATAAATATAAATAACGCAATTTCGTGAGCTCTGAATATTGACATAATAAAGTTTTTCCGAAGTAATTATTAGAGTAATAAGCAATGAATAGTACTTAATTTCTATATCCAAGACTTTCTATATAGAAATTAATTTTTTCTTAATAAACATCTTTAAAAGCACTTTTTTTTTTTTTTTTTGTTTTTTTTTTTTTTTTTTGGCTAAAGGTGCTCCAAACGATTAAGGTCTCACTTGACACTTATAATCCATGACTGCTCTATTTCTTCATTTAGATATTTTAAGGGGAAAAGTACTTGCCTATATCCATTACTTGATTTGGAAAATCCTCAATCCAAATATATTCCAGCAATCAAGATTTGATTAAAATATTATTATTTATATAATATTTTTTAATGAACGCTAATTGTTTAAAAAACAACAATTTTCATATTTAAATATATCGATTAATCTCTAAAATTTAATTTAATTAAATTATTTAATCCTTTATTTAAAAAGTAATATGAGAGTAAATAATAATGGAATGATGAATCTAAAAGACTAAATGAATAGATAGTTTAAGAATATTAAATTTCTAAAGAACTAATCATCATATTTACCAAAGGTCAAGAACTAAATAATAATTTAATCTATATAAAAACAACATAATTTCATCTAAATTTGGTTTTCCAAAATGACAAGAAGCCAACATAATGTTTTGCTAAATTTTAATCGGACCATTTAAAGCCCATAACATAAGATTGGGCCTTTCTTCGGAACCCAACTTGTTTCTGGACATTAGAGGAGTTGAGAAGCGAGTGTGTCTAACAAACTTATGACTTATTTACTGTCACATTTTGTCATAATTATAACTTTATAACTTAATCCCCCTTGTTTAGTAAATACACTAACTTTCTGAAATTTAATTTTAATAAACTATTTAATCCTCTAATACGAGAATGAATGTGTCACGACCCGTTTTCATGGGCCGAACCGGCACTAGGCCCCAAGTAAGCTTAAGGCTTCCGAAGCCGATAGTAAGCATAAACCACAAAACTTAACTATATTAATGTCTATTTCAAATATCTAGCCCATATTGTCATGCACCATAAATCGCATAATTTTATTATTCTTGGGCCCAACTTCAACATCTTAAACAATTTACAGCTCGGGCCCAAATGTAATACAATATATACATAATATGGGCTAACAGATTCAAGCATTTCATAAATAATTAATCGAACATCCTCATCGGTTTATTGATTTTATCCCTACAATTGTGGAGTTCAATATTAAACAGAACATTTAGATTTTGTAAACTCACAATTACACTAAATACTGGAATTAAATATTTTCTTTTCTAGCTCTGCGGTGAAGGAAACGAAGCTTTAACTGGGGTTTACAAGAATCTACTTCTTGAAAAGTTAAACAAAACATGTGAGTTTTATACGAAATAATAATTATTGCAAAATACATGCATTCACACAAGTGTGTAAATATATCAATCTAATCATCCGACTAGTTATATAATCACGCTGACAGTCACACATATGGCATAACAACAGCAGTCACAATTATTAACAACTTCACATAATCACATCACGTGAAAATTGGTCTATGGCGTCACCGAAATCCCGATGAACCGTCCTCCCACATGGCCATCCTTTCATGACGTGTGCACCAGGGAGCCGATCCCCCATTCATGGTCGACCGTTCTCAACCTCACTTGACCAGCCTTTTCATCGTTCATTTCATTTTATCTCATCATTTTTTTTTATATACTCTCTTTTCTTTTTCATACCAACAGAAGGCACCTTGTTGTTTTCCAAATCAACCATACTATATCATCAGGTATCACCATATCATCATGAGCATAAGGGGGTGCCGATCTCCCCATACTTGCCTCACGGTCAAATTCCATATTTCATCATTTCTAAAACCGTCCTCATAAACCCATGGTGACTCACTTCATCCCAATTCCACCTAAACAAAACATAGCAATGTTACAACACAATTAATCAAACATTGCAGTTAAATACAAGCGCACAATTAGACATTCATATTCAAATATAAATAAATACATGAGTATTAATTATCAATATAATATAATAGTTGATTCTTAAATAAATAACTAAATGACTAAATAATAAAAAGAATAAATAAAGAACTTTATTTAGATATACCATATTAAAGAATTGTTGCAAATAAGTCTATTAACTTAACCATTAAATATAGCTAGCGTAGATCCAAACGAAATTTCGGTAGGACCTCTCCTAAAATTAAATTAAACCACCTGTTAAGACTACAATTCAACCATAAATTCTCAAACCCATTCATCGGACAATTCACAACAACTGATTCCGTTCGCTATAACCATCATACATTCATTTAAACTTTTACTCACTTCTCGCAGCCCATCCGCCTTAGATAACATTTATTAACCTTTAAGCCCACATATATGCATTTAATAATTTTAAAATTTTAAACCAATTAATTAATCACAATCAGCTACCATAAATACTGTAACTAATCAAAATTAATTTATTTATAACATACTAAATTTATTTATATTTAACTATCAAAATTAATTTTATTTATAACATACTAAATTTTATTTATAATATATATATATATATATATATATATAACTTATTCAAATATCCTAATTTCTTGTTATTTTAGATTAATATCTACTTCAATAATCAACTAATTTACATTAAGGGCTAAATATGTTCAAATAACATCATATTCTTAGTGCCCCAAAACGCTAACATAGATTACCTATCAAAATAAAACAATCACCAATATAGTTCTTTATATATAACTATTCAAATAATCTAATTTCTTGTTATTTAATTATATCTACTTCAATAATCAACTAATTTAACATAAGGGCTAAAATATTTCAAATAACATCATATTCTTAGTGCCCCAAAACGCTACATAATTACCTTATCAAAATAAACAAATCACAAATAGTTCTTTTTTCCTTTACAGTGAATAACTCAACTCCCTACGGTGATCGATTTTAGTTAAATTAAATTAACAATTATCTAACTAATTGACGGAGTCATTCTAAGGTTACGCTAACTGCTATTTCAACCATTTCTGCGATTTTTTAGCTTAAAAGCCTATGAACCAAATTTATATTACTTACGTAATTTAATGACTATTTTAATTTATTAGCTATGTTTCCATATATATATATATAGAATTAAGTAGCTGTACAATTGTAATTGCATTCTCGGAATCAACTTAACCGACCAACAATTTTAAATTTGGAATTTATACTAAAAATGAGAAACTAGGTCTTAACATACCAATTGAAATTCCGTCAACGATTCCGCAATCCACGTGAGAAGAGAAAAATTCTGTCCCTTGGTGCTCGCCAGCCGGTTGCCAGACCGCCGGCGGCCGGCTGCCGTGTACAGTGGCTGAAAAAGCAACTCTGCTCATAATTTTGCAAAGACACCACCTCTCGAATCGAATTTTGCTAAGGGTTCTATTTCCGATGTCAAATGAGCGAGACGGGACCTCCAACTGGACGAATCGGGCTTAACAGGAGCTTAGCGTCTCCGTTCATGGCGGTTTCACCATCTGAGCTCCGTTGCAGTGATTGATGGAGACAAAACGATCGCGTTGGAGAGATGAAGCCATCGGCACCCCACCTTCACGCTGCAACCACCGGCAACGGTGTTGATCGCCGGAAATTGGTGAACGAGAGCTGTCAAGGAAAACAGCTCGTTTCGCTTCAACTGATGCTCTTTCGACGTGAGAGGAGGCTGGAAACACGACCACCAGCACCAGACGAATCGACCGCCACATTGTTCTCGTCGAGCGGTGGCCGAAACGGGATGGGAAGGGCGAAGAACGGCGCTGCCCTGGCACTCGCGACGAAGAAGAGAAGAAGAAGGAAAAAGAAAGTGGTTTTTTGGAATTTTCTGGGCCATTTCGCTTCGACTCGAACCGGTTTGGCTCAGTTCAATGATTTGAGTTTTGCTTGGTTTTCGAGCTTCTTACCTGGTTTTCAATAACTCAAATTGGTTTATGGTCCGGTTTAATAACAATAAAATATTTGTTGTAAAATCTAATTGGTTGAATTTAAATTTTAATTTTTATATGAAAATTCTACGAAATTAAACTTTCGAGTAGTTTATAATCAAAAAATAAATATAACATTTGTTTATGTGTACAAAAATGCTAAAGTTAACCTGATCGTCTCCCTCACACACTCTCTTGTGATTTGTTCTTATAGTTTTCATTTTCGAATAACCATCATTCATTTCTTTTGATGGCCCGTGGTTTCTTTTCTATAATTTCAAATTTGTAATAGGTCGAAACAAATCTTGAATTTAGTATCTCATATTTATCATAGATCTTGAGAGTATCTTTGCTACAATTTAATGTGTTTTTTGGAATTATTCTTCATTGTAGAGAGCCACTCTCTTTTTTAGTTTCCTTTTAGTTTTTGTTTTCGAATAACCATCATTCTTCTTTTTTGATCAATAGTGGTTCCTTTTTGTATTTTTTCAATAATTTTCAAGTTAGTGATAAATCGAAACAAATCTTGAATTTAGTCTGTCATATTTATTATAGATGTTAAGTATTTTTACTACTATTTAATGTGTTTTCTCTCCTTCTATAGAATTGTTCATCTCTGTTGAAAAGCTTTTACGTGTGTTTTGATTTTCTCTTTGTTAAGATAGATAGTTGATTGTTTGTGATCGAAAGATTAGATCTTCAAATGCGATAGGCTTATTTGTTCCTCCATTAAAATTAAATATTTTAAATTCTGTGTAAATTTCTCAAAATACAAAATTCGGAATATTTTATGCCAAGATCATCCTTATTTCTATGAAAATATGGTGATGTACTCAAGTCATATATTTTATTAATAAATTGTCAAATTTCAAAATAATAATAATAATTTAATCTAATTTAATTTTCATCTAAATTTGTTTTTCCGAAATGACAGGCAGCAATCATTTAATACACGGCACATTGGAAATCCACACAATTTTTACTTAAAAGTGTTAAGACTTGCACAAGCAAGGCAGGCCAAGACCATAAGCAGTAAAATGAAGCCTACTGAAAAAAGACGTGCATGCAAAGTTATCAACCTCACCAGCTGCAAGTTGTGGCTAGGGATGTTCATTATTCAGTCTAAATCACCAAATCAAATCGGATCAAATCAAATTAAACAGTTTAATTCAGTTTGATTACTGCCAAAAACACAATTCGGTTTATAAATTTAAGAAAACAATGATTTACAGTTCATTTTTAATTTTTTATTTTAATAATTCAAATCAAACCGTAAACAGTATTTTGAAATGCATTAAAATTTAAGAATTTATATAATTTTGTTTATTTTTTTTAATAAATCTAAGTTACATTGTATTTTCAAAAGCGAATTAACGTTTAGCTTTAAATTAATATATACTATTAATTTAGTGCTTGAATTATATATTTTATTATTTGAACTTGACATGTCATGTATAACCTTCAAAAAATTCAAACCAAACTGTATTGTTTCAATTCAATTCAGTGTTACTTATAACTCAAAACAGTTTAGCTTCAGTTGAAAAAATTCACGAACCAGTTTGATCTGAATATTCCTTTAAACCGCACTAAACTAAACCGTGCACACACCCCCAGTTGTGGCCATGCATTGAGGATAGCGGACACAAGGCAGAAATTTCCAGTAATTTTCTTTTTTTTGCGTTTTCTCCGGAAAGGAAATCAACCAAGTCCCCTTGTAAAAACATTTGGTGAGGTTATAATAATACAGAATGTACATTCAATCAAAAATCTGTACAAAAATACATTGCTTTCTCCAAAGGTTGTCCTCCAGCGCTTCGAAAATGTCTCAGGCTGTCATCCTTCTAGTAATAAAAATTGGCCATTACAACATGCGCCAGACATATCTATAACTTACTCTTCAATCATACAAGTCTCCGATAACATCTGTTAAATTGGCCATTCGGGCCGCTTCAGCAATCCTAAGTGCCATTAAAGATTTGTAAATTGCCAAATCTGCATTCTCCATAAGCATCTGAGCCCTGCGTCGTTTAAGAATAGCTGATTCTACAGATTTTTGTGCAGAAGCTTTAGCAGCTTCTACTTTACGCATAGCATTTTGTTCTTCCAGAGCATCATGTTCAGCAGCCATTGCTGTACAGTGTTAAAATGGGAGTCATGACAAAAAGCAAATACAGTAAGTTAAATGACAAACAGGGCAAGAATCAGGTCATAGTAAATGAGACTCAGAAGAATTGAAGAATATAAAAGAGCTTACCTTGCAGTAGACTGGGTTGCTTGCCTCTTCCAAATTGGCTGGTCTGTCGCTTTAACGACCTTCTTTTGCGTAAAACAGGTTTTGGAATCAGTGGAGCTTTCTTTGTTTGCTGTCCCTGTTAGAAAGAAGAATGAGGGAGGAGAGAGAGTGTAAAAACTCAAACATTGAATTTGCCTCCAACTTGGATGGTATACAACAACAAGAATATATCCCCAGAGCCTCACAAAAAGTATTTACTACATACTATACAGGCAAAAGTAACAGCTTTTCCCCGACATCAATAGGCACATGGTCTTTCAAGCCCATCACAATTTATTATTAATAAAAGACAGAAATGAGCAACATATTTTCGGTCATCTGTTTGTTTCCCATGGGCATCATCCCTGCAACTTCACAATCACTGCATCTGCATTAATGGACAGGTTTCTTTTTTTTTTTTTTTTTTTTTTTAAGCCCATCACAATTTATTAAATTAATAAAAGACAGAAAATGAGGCAACATATTTTCGGTCATCTGTTTGTTTCCATGGGCCAAATATCCCTGCAACTTCACAATCACTGCATCTGCATTAATGGACAGGTTTTTTTCTTTTTTTTTTTTTTTTTTTTTTTTTTTTTTTTTTGAAAACAAAAAAGTTTTGCTTAATCCTGTTTCCCCAGAAAACATCAGAATGTAAACGATAATATTTTCCACCCACATGGTCATTAATTGCAGCTTCAAATTCAGATCTTATTGCATTAAAAGCCAGGTATTTTTTTTTTTTTTTTTTTTTTTTTTGAAAACAAAAAAGTTTGCTTAATCCTGTTTCCCCAGAAACATCAGATGTAACGATAATATTTCACCACATGGTCATTATTGCAGCTTCAAATTCAGATTATGCATTAAAAGCCAGGTATTACAAGCTATTACATTGTTTTTCTTAAAGGAAAGCTGTAATATAACAGAGACAATCCCTGTGAATGGCTAAAAAAATGATTCACCAATGAGAAATTCAAGAATGAAACAATGACAGAAAGGAAAGAAAAAGAACACAGTGATAAAGAAAAAAAAAAACAGTTTGCAAGATTTCTGCAAGTAGTCATCAATATCTACATGTATTTTCTTAAATCCAAAAAAAGCTATTTGTTGGGATTATATACAACAATACAGTTGGAAAGCTATTGATATACAACTTGATATTTCATACACACATCCAAAATTATAAAGATATCCAGCAACACTAGTGTAAAGCAGAAAAATAGAATGAGAAAGTTGCCCATACATCAGATATCTAAAGACATAATGGAACTATTACCTGAAAGACCTTAAGCAGTGGTCCTCGTCTTTGCTTCCGTTTTTTCATCCAATAACCATACAAGGCTTCAACTGTTTCTCTCCTACCAAACTCTAAACAATGATTCACCGCCTCTCTTTCATCAGCAAAATCATCCGGACTGCAATAAAATGCCTTCTCAAAGGCATCTATCATTAACTCAAAATTATCCTCAGAAAGATGCTCCTGATGTTCCGTTTCTACAGAGAATTCATTGTTGAACTTCTTCAGCCACTCTTCATCTTCAGAATCCATGTCATAATTTGCAGACTTGTTTGCTAGAGCTCTAGCTACCTCATCATTATTTAAGGAAATGTACACATCTGGTCTAGAGAAGGGCACATTGTCACTATCCTCATATCCTAAAACTTCACATACTCCAGGGACAGGGATAGCCTTAGAAATGGGAGACGGCACATTGCGATCAAAACATTCCTTATAAAGATCCTTAAAAGTAAACCAATCCTGTCGGTTCGGAAACTCTAGCTTCCAACTTTCATCCCCAGTCCATATTATATCATGAGTAATACGATTAGAAGAACAGGGTCGCATACCCTTCTGTGCCAAGTGAGTGAACCTGGTCACTCCATCTTTCTTCACTACAAGCACCCACTCTCTTGCATCAGAGATTTCTAATGTGACAGTGGCCCTTTCTATCCTGTAACATCTATCTGATTCAATAACCAGAACATTTGCAGAACAGCTTGATGAGTCCATGGCCTGAGTCGCTTCCAACGCAATGGGACTTATCTCACCAGCAGGGCTACTCTGAGCTGAAAACCTAAGCTTATTCTTAGACACAATAGAAGAGAAAGGGATGCCATTTTTCCTACTACTAATTAAATCAGAGACTAAAGCACCATTAGCTTTATGCAAACCAACCAGGGAAGGATTTCTAGCTCTCCTCCTCCTTAGCGAACTTCTCCTCTTTTGAATACCGCGGGAATTTATACCATTTCTGTATTGACCACTCCGGCCAGCTATTTTAGAGGCAGATGGATGTAACCCCACCTTATTTGCAGACTTATCAGTTTCAGGTACTACGTCAGGCTTCACAAGGACACATGAAGGATCTTCGTCAAGCTCCACAAGGACACACGAAGGATCATCTTCGCTTTCTTCATCACATGAGTCCTCATCCAATGGGGTATTTACAGGTAAACACTTAAATTTAAACAGTAAACTGAGATGCATATACACAAAACAGGAAGGAACTGCTGAAAAATCCAAGGAAAACAATGGCACAGAACAACTGGCCCCAAAAATCTTGCAAATTCCGGTTCGATTAGAAGTTGTATCCTGAAAGAAAAATTAGAAAGAAAAAAAATGAATTAATAAAATAACTCTTAATCAGAGTGTTCATCAATAACCATCTAATTAAAAACTAAATAAAATGAACTTCAATGCATATTCCTAAAGAAACAGCTATGCTATGTCTGGTATGCCGCAATGATAAGTAATGTAATGCAATAGAAGCAAACGTTTTTTATTAAGTTCTATCAAGGAACATCAAAAGTAGCCTATAAGTATAAATAGTCTTAGATAATGAAAGAAATATGGAACTTCGCTCTCAGGAATCAAAATAAAATAAAAGAACAAACCAATACCTGCAAAAAGCAAATTCCATTTGAAGCAAAAGCGCCACTAACCGGCTCAGAGGACAAAAAACCAGCAAGTTGAGAAATCCTCAAACTAGTCCTTCTAACATATCCAAAAACCAAATTCAAAAGAGAAGCTAACCCACTACTACAAGGACCCTCAACAACAAGAGTACGAAGAGCACGTTCAACACCCACCAAACTGCCACTATCCCCTTGCCTTCTCCTCCTATGTCTTCGCGAAAACTGAATGCCAAACATCTTACTTTCTGCATTTTCTTGCTTATCCACAACCACTCTCTTCCTTTTTCGAATATAAACAAGTCCAAACATTTTGTCTCTAGTATCATTAGGCGTCTCACTCTTCTTCACTCTCTTGGCTACTCTTTTAGGCAATTGAGTATCAACAGCAGGCGCTTCGTGTTTCAATTTAGAAACATGCGTCCATCCATTTACCTTATACTTAACAGAGCTAGTGTTATGGTGGTGGTTCTTGTTAGTGGCGGTTGTGGTGGTGTTGGAGGCTTTAATCATGGTGTGTAACCACTCGTCCCCATCATTCGCTCTCCTGAACTTGCCATCACCTGATCCCGGAAGTTGCCGCCCAGACCTCAGAACGCGGGGCCCATCCACCTTCTTCACCAACCCAAACACCCTAGTGGTACGTCGCATCCCCACCGACGGCATTATCACCGCTCGTTTCCTGCTCAACCCAACCGGCAGCTCGATCTTCGAACACCCTCGACTCACTGAGTCTCCGAGTTGACTTCCGAGTCGACTCACCTAGTCAAATCTCAGAAACACCGAGTCAACGAATTTCGTGACAGAAAAAACGATTTCGACCACCGGAAACGACTCCCCTAACGCAAACCCGCCTCCGATCATGCCATATAATCAGATCTAGGAACAAGAACTCACCGAGTTAAAAAGAAAGAGCCGTAACCCGACTCGGATTTAGACCCATATACTTTAAGTAATTAAGTGCGGTTTAAAAAACGAGACACGGTATAAGGAACCGGCCAAGAATCAGAATTTAAAAGAAACCCATAAAAAACAGAATCGAAAATCAAGAAAAAGAAGCAAAAAAAAAAGAAAAAAAAAAAAAGAACTCACAAATTCTTTGCACAAGAAAGAAAGAAAACACAAATCTTGAAAACTAAGATCTGGGTCTCTTTACGAAGAGAGAGAAAGTCAGGGAAAGATTTTTTTTTTTTTTGTTTTTTTCCTCTATCTACAGAGAAGATCGGAGAGTTAAAGGCGTTTCACGTAAATCTTGCTGGAGTCGTTACAGTTGCACAGAGAGGGTGAGAGAGTGAAGCTATCTATCTCTATCGTGGGGGCTAGGGTTTATGATAAAAACTACTGTAGGCAGAAAATAGGTTAACCTTTACGCCGACTGATCATAACCGTTGGATTAGAGAATGGACGGTTAGGAATTATTCGGGAATCCGAATAACCGGGTTTGGTTCGATTGGTCCAAAGACCAAGAAACTTTTTGGCGCTCTCTCTCGAAGAGTGTGTGACAGAGAGCGCGTAGGAAAGTTGATATTTTGGATTCGCAGTTGTGAAATCACTAGAATGGGTTTCTTGTTGTCATTAAGAAAAGGGAGAAGGATGGGATATTTAGAGTTGAGGTGGGGTTTTTGGGCATTTAAGAGGTGGAGGTAATTAGCGGCGAGGATTTCTCCGGTAAAATTGGAAATCGGGAGAAAACAAGTTCTTTACCGTTGTAAATCTTGAAGAGGTAAAAGTACACCCTTAGGGTAAATATGGAAATCTCAAAACTTTATGGGAGAAAAATAGTTATTTTACAAAATTAATTAATTTATCTCTATATTTCTTATTAATAGTTAATTTTCAAGATTTAATTTCATTTTATCAAATAATTGAGATTATTCGTCAAATGATGCTAAGAAATAAGAGAGGAAATAAATATATTTAAAAATGACAAATCATGCCATTGATAAAATCTAGAAAATAAGAAATTCACCTCCATGGAGCCCTTCCGATGGCCATCTCTACAACCGTACATCCAAGAGCTCACAAATTTCTCATTCAAATCATTGCTCAAAAACTTAGCTCATTCAATGACAAGCAAGGTCGTCGTCTTCCTCCTCCTTCGCCTCTGAATCCTACTCCGGCGACCTTCATCCTGTAAGACTGGGATAGCAAAATCAATCTGATACGAGCATGTACCAATGTAAATTCAATCAAACCCACTCCAAACTTTTGAGCATGAGCAATCTCCAAATTTGAGGCCCAAAACCCAAGATAATCCAAAAATTATGATTTTATTTTTCAAACTGTTGCATGTTATTTTTCATAAACTAAGGTGTTTTAGAATTTATTAATTTTGTTATATCAACTGTTTTAGTAGCTATATAATTTTTTTTGTTATAATGACATTAGAGAGTCTATCTTTGTAACTAAAATTTTAATTTATCACCTGTTGAAATGACTATTTATGTATTAATTTAATTGTTATTTGCACCAATTTTATATTTTCCTTACATATTATTTTCATATTTCAGCACTATTTTGGACAGTGGAGTACTTCGAGTATGGAAATTCGTGACCAATCAATTCATCAGGACATAGATTAAGGTTGTTCTCCAACTACGAGCTTTCCAATTTGCTCAAGCATGATAAGACAATAGATGGTAATGCATTTCTTTTTTTTTTTTTTTTTTTTATTAACAATTTATTTTCATATTTCAAGCACTATTTTGGACAGTGGACGTACTTTCGATATGGAATTCGTGACCAATCAATTCATCAGGACATAGATTAAGGTTGTTCTCCAACTACGAGCTTTCCCAATTTGCTCAAGCATGAATAAGACAATAAGATGGTAATGCCATTTCTTTTTTTTTTTTTTTTTTTTAATATCGAGAGGGGAATTGCGATCTTATCCATTAATCAAGATCCTATTTTTTTTTTTTTTTTTTTTTTTTAATATCGAGAGGGGAATTCGATCTTATCCATTATCAAATCCTATATGCACTTATCATTATATTATATCCTATTGAGCGGTAATGCATTTTTATAATATGGTTTTCATAAAAAAGTACCGACCACTTAAATTCTAAATTTTTATTATATGCTAATTATTCATTGTTCAATTCTATATGAAAATTTAACTAATTCTTTTATAACATAAGCAAAAATTAGCCAATTATGCATCACTTGTTAATAGCAAATGTACTTCCTATAGAGGATTGAGTTTAGAGGAGACATTTGACAAGGAATAGCTACTATAAGAATGGCTTTTTTAGCCATTGATTACAATTTGTATTAGGAAAATTATAATTGACATATTTATATTTGAGTAAGTTTAATTTGAAATCTCATAGTTTATAAGATCGCTCATCGAGTAATTTTAAATCTTATACTCAATTCATGTAGAATTATACTGAATAAATAAATTATTTCTTATTATATAACTCACTCTATTATCTCGAATAATTTGAAACCATACAAGCTAATAAATTTTTTTTAAAAAAAAAACTTATTTTTAAGGGTCACTTTAATAATTAAAAAAAAAATTCTCATCCTCAATTTCTAAATAGGGCGGAAAGATTATAGATAAGGATAGAGTTCATTTCTAAAAATAGAAAAAATTTCTTTCTTTTTATTTGCAATTTCATTGTTTATTGCAATTAAGAGTGCTATTGCTACAACAAGTTAAAATTAGGGTAAAATTGATTTAAAAAAAAAAAGTCAAAATACAGTGTAATTACAAAAAAAATATGTACAATTCAGAGTAATTTGATATATTAGGCCATTTCTTTTTGCTATGAAGTGAAAGGAAAAAAAAAAAAAAAAAGGAAAGAGAGAAACTTTATTTAATTTTGAGAAGTATATACATAGAGAAACTATATATTTACTTCTTGATCATTCTTTACTTGATAAACATTTCCTCAAATGGTTATGAAAAAATAAATTACTTTCTTTTTTTTTTTTTTTAACTTCTTTTTAAGTTTAGCAAATGATTTCCTGCTTTAGTGGTAAGGGGTAATGCCCTAGAACCTCTAGGTCCTAAGTTCAATTTTTATTTGTGCAATAATTTTAACTGTATATATAAACCGAGTGGAAAATTTACTGATAATTCAGTAAAAAAACTCATAAAAAATTAATTGAAATTCTAAAAGTGTGAAAATTAATGATTTTTTTGGTTATTTTTTTCAAAATTATTTAGGAGTTCAATTCAAATAAAATCTAATTTGCTATTTTATGAACCAAATTAAATTGAAACTATCGGTTTCACGTACTTTAAGTGTCTGTTCGGCAAAATTAGCTGTTTTGATAGTCATTGATTATTTTAATACAATTAGTTGTTAGCTATAAAAAAAAAAAAAAAACTTTTAACGTTTTGGCTAAAAACTATTACTGAACGCTGTCTAAATATTCTTTTATTCATTAAGAGATTTAATAGTGTAAAGAACATTAAGGGTCACACGGTAGGGATAACCCTCCAATTTACTCACTAAATTGGTAAAAATTATTGTACTCGTGAGATGTAAGTAAAAAGACAAAGAAAACTACGTTTGGCTGGCTACTTTAAATTTAGGACTCTGTTGGATTTTAAGAGATTTTAAAATTCAAATGGTATTTAATTTAGATTTTTTGGGGGTTTATTAAAATTTTATGGTATTCAATTCAGACTTTTATATAGACAATCCATAAAAATCTGATGACATTCAATTATGACTTTTTAAAAACCCATACAAATTGATGGTATTTAAAAAATTATTGATTTGAAAGGATTATGTAAAATTATTGATTTCGTTGGATTTTAGATTACTAAATATAAATAGAAGAATCATTCACAAATTCATCTTTCAACCTAAAGATTTCTAAAATCTATTAAAACTTAATAGAGTTGTAATCAAATACACCTCTAAGGTGTAAAATAATGTATTGGTTATTGGATTAATTTCGAATTAATGCACGTGTTGAGAATAGGGATGAAAGTGAAACGGGTATTTTAGAGTATCCGCGCTGCTTCAATCCGTTTAATGAGGGTACGGATAATTATAAATGAGTTTTAGATAAATATGGGTAGTGAAATTACTACCCGCAACGGATACGGGTATTTTGAGGAGTACCCACTATAATAAACTATTTTAGCCATGGGTAGTAAAAAATATATTTTAAATAAATTTGAATTTGAATAGTTTAAAATGTGCAGATATCCTATTCATTTAAGAGTATTTTAAATGAGTTTGAGACAGATAGAAAATTCTAAAATGGGTTTGGAGAAGAGGATGCACGGGTTTGGAGAAGAGGACGCACTTTACATTTTGGTCCCTTATTATTTTTTAATTGAACTAAAAAATCTTTTAATTTATTCAATTAAGTTCTAAAATTAATTTTGATTGAATATATAAAAATCTTTATAATTTCATCAAGATCAATTAAAATCTATAATTGATTTCATCAAATTCCACAAAACTCTATGTAGAATTTTAGTGAAATTTTATGAAAATTTTTTAATTTCATTAAATTCAATATTTTTTTTTAAAAATTTAACACAATTCTAATCCAATCTACATCTTTGATTTTGAGTTAAATGCAAACCTCTAACCGAAAGTACGAATTTGGTTTGGTACATTGCCCGTGAACCGCCTTAACCAACTGTCGAGCTACAAGTGTTACGCCGGTTGGTTGGCAAGTAAGAGACGGCAAGTCATGAGGTGCGGTCACCTTTGGTCAATGACTGAACTTTTGTTGCCAACCACTGGTTTACTTTTGTCCATGTGTCTGCTTTTACCTACAGATATTTTTCTTTTTCTTTTTCTCTTTAATCTTATCCATATAAAATTTAATATTAAAAAGAAATTACTATTTTAAAAATTTTAAAGCTTTATCAGAATATTTTTTTTAATTCCCGACTTTTTATTACGACACAACAAAATATCAATTTTTTATATACAAAAAAAGTACCACGATTGCATTTCAATATTTTGGTATCTAAATCATTATATTAAACAAAAAAAGTTTATAAAAGTTTTCTCGTATTTGTATTTATTTTTAAGTTTTAAGATATGGGATATAAAATAAAAATATTGAAAATATATTAAAAAAATAAAAATATTAGTTTTTGAGAAACTAATTAAATATCAAATGATTAGAAAATGTGTTAAAAAATCATTATTAAGAGAAATAGTAAAATAGGAAATGGACCCTCCTCTCCTCATGCCAAGTGGTTGGTGACCCTTCATTCTCTTTTTAGTTTTTCATTTGTTTATCATTTGAATATATTCCTTAGAAATTATAAAAAACAAAAAATATTAATAAATTTCATTATCAGAAAAAGAAATCACCAGCGAGAAAAAGAAAATAAAAGAAAATAACAAAAAAAAAAGAGAGTAGGCGTGCTTAGAATATTCAATTATTTATTTGATTTCTGGTTCTCAGACGATTTTACACAAACATAGGAAAAAAACTGCCAAAACTGAAAAATTAAACTATCTTTAGTTGTTTTCTCATTTTGAACTATTGTTATTAGTTTCGATGGTGATTGTTTCTTTAGATATGTATTAACTTGCCAACAAAAACAGCCACACCCCTCGTGCAGATTATATTGCGGTGTATTGTTCTTTTTTGCTTCTTGAAGAAAGTTTTTTTCTTGGTACCAAATAATTTCTCTGTTTGGTTTCAGGTGACCCTTATCTTTATCTATTTTTTTTTTGCTGTTACTATTTCTGGGTTTTGATTTTTTTTACTCAAATGATTGAAATAGCTATTAGCCATTTAGTATTTTTACCTCTCTTTCCTGTCTGGATGGATTAATTAGTTTATGATATTTTACATTTCTTTGAATTGTTTATCAATCTGAGTGATCATTTGAACTTTGTGGTGATGGTTTTGATTGTATGGAAAGTTTACCCTTTCTAATGGTTTGTAGCGGATGATGGTTAATTTTGTTTTAATTTTGATATTTACAATGGTATGGTTAGTACCTGCTGTTTGAATCTGGAAAATAGAGGGGGAAAGAAGAGAGAATATAATTTCTTATATATTTTTTTTAATCGAGTTCCAAAATAGAGCGAAAAGGAATACTTAGGCTCAGGTAGTAGAGATTTTAGGTTGCTCATAGCAACAAGAGTAGATGGTTGCGAAGTTTCAGCTTTTACATTTCCTTTTTGCTGACTCTCAGGTAACAAGTAAAAGTTACTCTCATATAATATCTGAGCCTGCTTTGGTTGTATGGTTGTGTCAATTAAGTTTAGCAATAACTTTTTACATTATTGCTAAATTTTCCGATCAAATGTGTATTATGTAGGTGTTTCAAATAGAAGCCGAGTTCTTGGATACATTTTGATTGAAGGCATTTGAATTTGGTATAATTTGATTTATTTGATAAGCATTTTATTTATGGGAACTTCTGAGGCAGTTCTGCAAGTTTTGTCTACTGGACCTCGCATTTTTTGTCCTGATCCATGTGCCAGCCATTTAGATTTGAAATTTCCTTCTGAATCCTACATAAAATGTGCAAAGAAAAGGACCTTGAGGCATAAGCAAGTATTAAAGTGTTCAAGTTTTATTCAGAATCACTTAGGAACCCATCAATTTAACAGGACAGCAGAACATGGTCTGCTTGCAAATACAGTGGTCGACAGATTGCAGCTTCTGCGTTGCAAATGCCAGAAAGCAGAAAGTCTTGGTGGTATGACTGCAGAAGATGGAAGTGGAACATGGTTTGTAGATAGAGCAAGTGCATTAAACCTTAATGGTGCAGTAAACACGTCAAATGTTTTGGATTTTGGGGGCGTTCAGAAGTTGAAAAAGGAAGAAGAAGATTTGACAGCTAATGGAGCAGTGAAACAGGAAAAGGAGAGTTTGTCAACTAATGGTGCAGCTGTAATAGATAGAGACACTTCTAACAAGGTTAGCATAGATTCTATTGAAGATGAAGCTTGGGACCTACTGCGGGATTCTGTGGTTTATTATTGTGGCAGTCCCATTGGAACAATTGCTGCCAATGATCCTACCTGTCCCACTTCCAATTTATTGAATTATGATCAGGTCTTTATTAGAGATTTCATACCTTCTGGTATTGCTTTTCTTTTGAAGGGAGAGTATGATATTGTTAGGAATTTCATCCTTCATACACTTCAGTTGCAGGTAATTTCATTGTTGATTGTACTGACTGTTTTATTCTTCAAACTAATAACTTTTGTTGCCTTGCATCTTACTTCAGATTATTCTCTTTTATTTTTGATTCCCACTTATCTACAATTAATTGACAAATATTGCCTTATGAGTTATATTATACTATCTGTTGTATTGTTTAACTGTTCCAGGCGTCCTTTTGATAATCACAACTGTCATCTATGGCACATTACTGGTTACTTTCTGGTGGAAGTTCCAGAATTAACATGTCTGAATGTTGCTTCCTCACCCCACAAAAGAAGGGGAAAAAAATTACTGTGATTAATGATGTAATTGCTACATAATTTCTCGCATGCAGTTCAATTATTCTCGTAACCAGTGATAAAAATGGTTAAAATTGAAATATACTACCGGATATGTGGATGCATGACTGCTAATGGTTTTCTGGTTAATTGTGTCCCAAGAAAAAAAAAAAAAAACAAATAAATTGTTAGTTCTTCTCGCGAATGCGTCCTTATGCAGGCTTTGTCATGAAACTAAAGAATGTTACAGTTTGAATAGCATTTGCACATACTAATGATTATTGGCTACACATCAAGATCAATGCTAAAGTGACTCAGTTTCTGTAATTATAAATAGGTGATTGTGTGCCTCACGTGGGTTAATGATGCATTACCTTTTTCTTTATTAAGTTACCTTCCCTCTTTCTTTATTTTTCTCTTCTTTTAGGTTACCTATTATAGTATATATCTCTTTTCATTACAGAGCTGGGAGAAAACAATGGACTGTCACAGTCCTGGTCAGGGATTGATGCCTGCTAGTTTCAAGGTGCGTACAGTTCCTCTAGATGGTGATGACTCTGCAACTGAAGAGGTATTAGATCCTGACTTTGGAGAGGCAGCAATTGGTCGTGTTGCACCAGTTGATTCTGGTAAATAAAATTTGAGGTGATCAAGTTTGTTTAATTAGGAACTGTTCGGCTTACCCTATGCATTGCTGAATTTCCTCTTATGCTATCATGTCAAAATTAGGATTATGGTGGATTATCTTATTACGTGCATATGGAAAATCTTCTGGTGATCTCTCAGTTCAGGAGAGGATTGATGTTCAGACTGGAATTAAGATGATTTTGAGGCTATGTCTTGCTGATGGTTTTGACATGTTCCCTACATTGTTAGTGACAGATGGTTCTTGCATGATAGATCGTCGTATGGGAATTCATGGCCACCCTCTAGAAATCCAGGTAAACAACAGATGCAAATCAATTTAGCATAGTTCAATATGAAGAGAGGTCTTCTGTAGGAAAGTGATTTGGATGTTGTCCAGCTATCGTCAGATGACTTCACAATTATACATTGACCAACTAATTTTGTAGTTTTGTTTTTCTTATTGGTCTCCTCTATTATGGATGTCTAAGGGTTGTAGTGAGATATGGTAATTGTACGGAAGTTTTGGTTTGTGCATGATATTTTTTGTTGTGGAGGGCAAGAAATATGATATTTTTTTCGCCGGGGGGGGGGGGGGGGGGGGGGGGATCTTTTTTTTCGCCGGGGGGGGGGGGGGGGGGGGGGGGGGGGGGGGAGGGGGGGGGGGGGGGGGGGGGGGGGGGGGGGGGGGGGGGGGGGGGGGGGGGGGGGGGGGGGTGGGGGGGGGGGGGGGGGGGGGGGGGGGGGGGGGGGGGGGGGGGGGGGAGGGGATAAATTTCTTTTCTAGTGCTTGGTTCAACTTTTTGTATAGTGGAATGTTCAGAAGTTATGAGCTTGTTTGAGGTCATGTATTTCGGAGCTCTGTTGTAAATGGTCAGTATTAGTGTCATTTAGAAAATCTTTGTTTATTGCACAATTATCTTTAAGGGTATAAAATAGCTATATGTGTAACTCAAGATTTTCAAGTAGAAGCCTTAATGGGGGCTATGAAAAGAGAAGGGAAGGGTAGGTGTTTAGAAAGGTGTTTCAGATTGGGAGATTCAATTATTAAAATCCAATGACTTTGGTCCCATGATGGCCTGACATCTAACCCTGACTTCTCACATCTAAAACAATTATTTAACCAATACAAAATATGCCTGTGAATGCTACAACCTTAGAGAAATCTAAATTAGAAAATTGCTAAATAGTTCTTCTGAAATATAGAATTCCTTAACAACCTTAAAACATAAATTACTTGCTAAGTTTTTCACTACTAAATGAAGAATAATGGTTGTGAAGAGGCCCTTTCTTTCCAAGAGGGCCAGAATCAACGACCGGAATCATGTTACACTTATAGAGAGGTATATAAACTATATCATAGTGGCTTACAAAGTGATTTGGTGCATCCTGCTGAACAGGAGGAGAAAAATGTTATAGACACATTTTATGAAGGAATTGTATCTTCATAAAGGTACATTTTGGGAGTTGGATAGAAAAGTAGATAGGGCTTAAGCAAAAATGTGATGAAATCTTAAAGGAGAAACACTATTTTTGTTGGCTAACCTTTGTACCTGGTCTTTGGCTGCACAAATTTCTTATGTCAGGTAGATTAAGTATGTTCCAATTAATAATCTTTTAAGAAAGAAATGCTTAATTTTACTTTGTTATCACTATGGCTACTAAGAAAAAAGGGACCTAGGCATAGGGTTGAGGCGTATTGTTAAATTGATGCCTCTTGATTTTGTGAATACATTGCCATCACGCAGAGCAAATAGCAAGGCGTGATCATCAAGTCTTTGAGCTATTAAAGATCATGGTGATGTGGAGAGGCTAGTTATTGGAGTCTGACATGCTAAGAGCACGAGAAGTCCAAAATCTGGGGCGAGTATTTGTAGAATTAGAATTGAATTTAAGATGCTTTCAAGTAAGTTTATAGACTTGCATGCCATTGCAGCAACATTTTCAAAATGAAAGATATTTAACTAAAATTTGGGCAAATTGCTATTTAGTCCCTATGTTTTTTACCTAATTAACATTTTTTTTTATTTTATGAAATGAATTAATATTTGTTTCATTAACAAAATAGTACTTTTATTCGGATTTGTTATAAACTTTTGTTAGTCAAACCTCCTTTTAGCAGTCAAATGGAAGATTAAATGATAAAAGTACTAAAAAATATCCTTGGTAATAAGACAAAGAAGGATAAAAGCTCAAATTGATTCCTGATATTTTCAATTTGTTTGTTTTTTTCAATTTGTTTGTTCAAACATAAAATTAATTTTGTGACATTAAATATGTTCTATTTGCTGAAGCCCAATTTTATGTTTTAAATGCTTATTTTATGTATTCAATAATAAAAGAAGTTATATTTATAAATAACAAAAATTATTTATGCATTTCAAACTAATTAAAACAAAAGATATAATATTTTTTTTATAGTATAAAGTTACTTTGGTCATAAATAATATATCAAATATACTTTTTTTTTTCATGGTGGATATTCCCTATTCTTTGAAAAGTACTCATAGTGGGATCTAATCTCATTAGTAATGCCCAGTATGGCTTATATAATTTAATTTTTGTGCAAACAGTGGAATGGGTTAATTCAAAAGAGTTAATGCTGAATTTAGTTTTCATGCATGAAAGACATAAAACAAGTGAGAGGATGAGCTATATTAGAATTCAAACGGCTTAATAACCACCTAAGACATGAGAGGGTAATTTATTCTTTCTTTACTCATTAGCAGAAAATTTTGGTTGTTTTGGATGTAAGGCCTGTAATAGTAATGGTAAGGGGACTATTTAATTTGTCTCTTACAAAGAAAGGATGGACTTGTTAATTCAATCAAATCTCATGAATTAAATAGTAACTTGCCGTTAAAATTTCAGAAAAGAGAAGCTCTAGGCTGTGCAAGTAAAAAAAGAAACAACTTGTTGATGCAGTTATGGGGGGAAAAGTAAGAAGACGTTATTCGAAGCGTACATATGAGCAGAACTTTGAACTTTATTAAAAGTAAAGTTAAGAAGTTGTAAGATTGTATATTTTGTAAGTTATAAAGGATGTACTTGGTGTAGTGTAAAGTGGATTAGCTACATGATGTAGGAATGCTGCTTGGTGGGACCGTCTCTGGCTCTCCCTTGATCACTCCACTTTGTTGGGTTTATTGCCTTTTTGAACCAGAAGTATCATGCAACTAATTCTAAGACTTTCCACTTCTTCATTTTTCTTTTATGTTTTCTTTGGTGTTGCTGTGCGTTTTGGGATTTAGGAGGAGTTGAGAGCAGGGGATTGCAGGGAAAATTTCTTTGTTCTAATTATTATTTACATAAAAGTTGTTCTTTGTGCAAAACTGCAAACTGCACATACAAAATTGTTTTACCCTGAAAATTTTCTTTGAACATTTCATTTGAAATATTTTATGGGGAAATTAGTGAGAATTTGAGCGAGCAGAATGCTCTAATTGTTTAGAGTTCTAATTTAATATGTTCATTTCTCCATGGCATTACAGACATGAGAGGGGAAGTTATACAAAGTTCAAATGATTGTATAGCAAGATCATTTCGAGATTCAGTTAATTACCACCACATCTTACAAGTGATGATGATTTTGGAGAAAAGGCATAATGACTAAAATTTTGGACAGACAATCAGTTGCAATACTTTACAATAATGAATAAGCAAGGTTCAATGCATTCTTAGTGTCTTATCTACATGTCTTTAACATTTTTATTAGAATACGGTATTAGCATCAAGAAATGTTGGAAACGTTTCTCTTTTGCTAATCTAGTTGTCTGATGTGAAGTTTTTGTTCTTGTAGGCACTTTTTTATTCAGCGTTACTTTGTGCACGGGAGATGCTTGCTCCTGAGGATGGATCAGCTGATCTCATTCGAGCTTTGAACAATCGTCTAGTTGCTCTGTCATTCCATATCAGAGAATATTATTGGATTGATTTAAGAAAAGTAAATGAGATTTACCGTTACAAGACTGAAGAATACTCTTATGATGCAGTTAATAAGTTCAACATTTATCCAGATCAAATTCCTCCCTGGTTGGTGGACTGGATGCCCACGCGAGGAGGTTATCTAATTGGAAACTTACAACCAGCTCACATGGATTTTAGATTCTTTACTCTTGGAAACTTATGGTCGGTAGTTAGTAGTCTTGCAACAGCAGATCAGTCTCATGCCATATTGGATCTTCTTGAAGCCAAGTGGACAGATCTGGTAGCAGACATGCCATTCAAGATATGTTATCCTGCTCTTGAGGGGCAGGAGTGGCAAATTATCACGGGCAGTGATCCCAAGAACACGTAATATTGCTTCCTCTATGAATTTGATCGATTCACTTTTGCTTTCTATTTTCATTGTCTAATGGTTCATTGCTCTTGATACAGGCCTTGGTCCTACCACAATGCAGGTTCTTGGCCAACCCTTCTTTGGCAGGTTAGTTTACATCATAATCTTCACAGTACCTTGCTTTGGTTATTTCCTTTTTGGGCACTAGGCATGGCCACCGGTTTGGTTCTAACCGGAACCGAACCGTACTGTAGACGAACCGGAACCGGACCGAAACCGGCGGTTCATAATTTTGAACCGGATACTTTATTAAAGAGTAATGTTAAAGAAAATAATGACTATGTAAAGATTGTATACTTTTGGTAAAGTTATACATTAAAGGAAAATGTAACTTGCGATGTAGTGGTAAAAGTGTGAATTACGCTATCCATGATGTTACTTTGTAAGAATATGAACACTAGCCTTGGTGGGGACATCTCCTACGCGTCCTCCTGGCCTCCCTCCCTTGATCACTCCACTCTTTGTTGGGTTTGCCTTGAAGATCGTTCTGAATCCAGTTAATGTTAATGAAATGTTCCCAATCCTAACATTTTTCAATTAGAGACATAAATTGCCCACACTTCTTTTTCCTATGTTAGTTATCTCTTTGAACTATAGATAGTTTCAATATTTTTCCTTTAGCTTTGTGATAGATTTTCATGTTTCTTTAGGGTGAAATAGTTTTAGTTGGAGAATGGTTAAGGAGGATTTTGAGAGCCTTTAGGCGAGTAATTTGCAGGGTCAACTATATTCAATATGCTAATTTTTTGTTTCTATATTCAGAAGATTATTTCTATTGTTTTGTTCTATGCCTTATAGTGAGCACATAACTCTCAGTTCCCGCAATTCTTGCTCATACAGATAATCTTTTGTTGATTCTCTAATTACCACAAGCCAGCTACATTTTGCTATTGTTCAACTTTTCGTGACATATTATAAATTATGAAGCTATCATTCCTTTTAAGTTTATTGGGGAATATTATGATCGAGTACGAGTATTATTCATTACAGTTCGCAGCAGATGATAGCTCTTCTATCTTTTGGAGATTATTACTGAGTTTCGTTTTTCTCTTTAGTTAATTACGAGTTTTTTTCAATATTCTCACGTGTGGGCAATATGGTAAGCTGAGAAGAGAGTGTAATCAGTTAGTAACAGAGATGCATTCTCTCATATTAGGAATTGTTATAGAGTCATCAGTAAGAGATGTAACTTATATTTGTCCTGGATTTCAGTCTATTTACACATGTTCTTCGCTTGGCTTTGCTGCAATCTGTTTAAACTACTTCTTCACGTGATGTGTTACATTTTCGAGAGGAATTTCGGTGTGCTATGAATTCAAAGTGTATGTAGTTTACTACAATTTTTTTGGGAGCTAGCGCGAGGAATATGATGCTAGAATTGCAATACTTTACAGATATTGATAGAGGGCGCGTTCCCAATGCCATTTCCTTAGGATGTTCCTTAATTCCATTACATTTGGGTTTTTCATTCCGATCTTATAGTATCCCTCTCTATGGAATACCGCTGTATTGCGCCATACTCTCATGAGATAGCTTTTTGTGCACAGCCGTTTCAACCCTTCCTTTTTAGCCCTACAAACTAATCTCAGTTCTGATGTCGTAGATGTACGTACGCTTAGTCTTAGGCGTATCCCCACAATAGTAAGGCTTGGCTTTCAATCTATCTTATTCTTTTTTTATTCTTGTCCGTTACCTCCTTTCTCTATACCCTCTAGCAGGCTAGTTTGGCTTAATGGGATGGATGCGCGTGTGCTTCCCTGGAGGATTTGGTAAGCAGCCTTTGGACTACTCCTGCACACATTTTCCAGACAAGCGCCTCTCAGGTGATACACCAACAATACCCGTGCTCTTCTTAGTTGCTTCTTTGCGCGCATGTATGCATTTCACACTTAATTTCAGTGATATATTGGAATATGGATTTAGTGGAAGGTATATATTGCACTGTTTTGCACCCTGGTTACAATTTAGACTGGTTCACTTATCCTCTTAGTCGGAATTTGTCCAGTTATAGCTTCCAACCTTTCCTTATATTTATAATCAAACAGTAATTTATTCCTCTGACACTCTGGTTTGTGTTTGGCGAATCAGTTCAGCAAATGGCCGAAGCTAAGACTCATCCGCTAGTCCGACGAGGGTTATCAAAGTATGGATTACCAGAAGTTAACCACCCTATCTTCCCTTCACATCCATAGGATTGTAGATATCTTCAATTTCACATCTTTTGATACCACATGTAAGCTCGAGTGCCCCGGCCTTAGTTTTACTGTAGTCTCTTTGCTTACTAGAGATCACATGATCATTCACTCCATAAGCATACTTAGAATCTTTCCTTGAGAAAGAGGGACCAATAGTCATGGACTAGAACTCTCGTTTATTAGGACAAACAGACAAAGTCTCATCTCACTATGTAATAATGTTATATTCCATACCCTGCCTGCTTTTTGAGACATGGGCAAGGAAAGTGAGAGGTCGCATATATTTTATATCTGTGAGGCTCAGGTCTGATAATTCCCAGACACCGTAATATTGCCTCTCCCTAACGTTAATACCTTTGATAGAATTTTCGAATCGATCTCACATCTTTTTTGTACCGTGTTCTATTAGTTACAGTTTGTGCCCTTAATGGATTCCAATGATTTTCTTGCCCTCTTGTATATATGACCAAAGCTGCTCCTTGAGGAGTTCCCTACCTACTGATAGAGCCAGGTTCTTGGTCTCATCTCCCACCTAGTCCTTTTGGCAGCTGTTAAAGTGTTTACATCATGATGTTCCACCCGAAGTAAACCACTATTTCATGAATCTGGAATTTTAAGCTGTTTGGCAATCTAATAAAATATGTTCCTCTATTTCCGGGTCTACTTAAGCGCCATGTGTCCCACCCTTCATCACTAAACATGTGTTTGGTTCGTTACTATACCGCCCCACCACCAAGCAGAATACATTTCCTAGATCCCTTAACTACCGATGCGATATGGCACCCGATATACGGTAAGCCGCTAGGAAAACCGGAGAATTTCTTCCATACTTTTGTTGCAGACTTACATCCAGAAAGCCGCGGTTGTCATGGTTGGGTAACTCCTGTTCCTTTGACGGGGAAATCGTAAAGCACAGTGGAAGACAGTATTAACTTGGAGCTGGGAGCTTTATGTGCATTTTATTTATAGGAGATATAGATTCAAATTGCTTAAATATCAGCACATATCTAGTCTGTGGACTTCTTGGCCTTCTCCTGAATACTGGGTTGTTGGCGCGCTCTGGCGGTTATTAGTGTTTCTCAGATATAGTTCTGTTCAATAAGAGATGACGTAGGAACAGTTAATATGTACACCATACCATATCCGCGTAGATATTATATTATTTTGTCCTTATATTTATATTGATTTGATTGATAGTTGATTTGTTATGGGGGAGGTATGTACTAAGTACTAGTTGTGAATCTTTTTTGCTTATTTATAATAAAAAAAATGGTACATGAATATGTTATATAAAAAATAACTTATTTCAAGTGTAAAAAAAAAAGAGTGTAACGGATTAGTTTTTGATATGATAGGTGTTTTTTTTATATTAATTTTTTGGTAAAATTTTATTCATTTTAATTCCATTTTAATCAATTTTTATTTATTTATTTACCTATAATTTTTAACTAAATTATATAGGGACCAATTTTGGAACCCTAATAAATGAGACCCAAATGTATAAATATGATGAGTTGAATGATTTTTTTATTTCACCCAATCAATTATCTCCCTAACTCTTCTCCTTATTTTTCTTCATCAAAATTCTCTCAATTTCTATAAGTTTCATTTATTTTTTTCTATTGCTTTAATTTTCCTTAATATGGAATTATCTATTGTTTATTTTTAATTTTCTTACATCCAATTCCAAAATTCATTTCTCTAATCTCAAATTTTCCATTCATAAATTTACTTCATTTTGATCTTTTTTAAAATAATTTTTCTAGTATTTGAAAATAATATTTTCCAACAACTTCATTTCATTAATTTATATTCATTTATAGTTTTTATATTAGTAATTACAAAATTTGTAAATTTATGTAATAATATTTTAAGTTAGTTAATAGATTTTTTCTTTTAAAATTTATAATAATTTTCCATTAGTTAATAAATTTAACATTTTAAATTATTTTTATTTCATGAATTCGGATCAAATTTTATTATTTTTTTAAAAATTTCCGTATGCCCGGATCGAATTAGAAACGTAAATTTGAATCGTCGATTCCGCCGGAACCGTGCTGAACCGTGCCGGAACGGAACCGGAGGTTTTCCAAGGGTCGGTTCCTGGTTCAAAATTTTTTAACGGTTCTGGTTCAAAATTTTAAACATCTCGAACCGGCGGTTCAGTGAACCGAAACCGGCGGTTCACTGAACCGGCCATGCCTATTGGGCACACATATTTTAGTGAAAAACACCTTCCAGAGATACAACAACATCAAAAAATAAGCCTTAATCCGAAAGCTAGCTCGATTTAGCTTGGAAATGGAAATGGATTTATAAATCCGAAGAATCTCATTTTATTTTCTAAAAATAACTAAATAGATTTTGTTGGTTATATCAAGAATTATATTAAAATAAATATCTTTTATATAAATGCAAAATATTCCAATACAAAAATATCGGGAAAAAATTGGATTCCATGCGTACCAAACTAACAAAATGGACGCTTGTTTCAAGGATTCATTCTGTTCTCATTTCAGGTGTGACCTGCGTAAAGAGACAGATAAAAGCAACACTAGTAGTGTGTTATGGTCCCATGTTTGTGATCTGTTCAGGCATTGATTAACAGGAAACTCAGTCCCTGTATCAGATACAATTCTGAATTTATTGGTGTTCTTGCCTTTTCCACCTATGATTGCTGGGTTAAGTGCTCATTAGAGAACCCTTCAATCTCATAAAACAAACAACACTTTTGAGGAAATAACTACAGCTTTGCATTTCATGCTTTCCAATATAAATAGCATTCGGTTTACATGAAACAAAACTACTCAGTTTGCATAACTGCATTCCTACTGCAACCTAAACTGATAGATAAACATACACGTAACTGAATAAGAAAAGAATTCAGATACTTAAAAGTCTTCACACTTGGTTTGCCATGCATATATCTCCTATAAACTCTTATCATATCTACAGCAGCAGGTTTGCATCTGTCTGCCGATCTTGGGCTGTAACATAGTGCTTGGAGTTTTAGTACACATTTAGCGACTGTTTGTGGGAGTAAAATTTGAAGGATGCAGCTGTTTTTCTTAGGAGGCTTCTGTATGGTAGTTATAGATTTCAATGCTCATTACCACTGGTTGCTGTTTGAATGTGTTTTTCAATTCTCAAACTGCATGGATATTTTGATGGTTGCATGTACAAAAACATGATGTTTGATGTTGGCCGACTCAGTATAAGTTACAGATTCTCGCTGACATATTTGAGGCTGTTTACAGCTGACAGTTGCATGCATAAAGATGAATAGACCAGAAATTGCAGCCAGAGCTGTTGAAGTTGCTGAAAGACGCATATCACGAGACAAGTGGCCTGAATATTATGATACCAAAAGAGCAAGATTGATTGGAAAACAAGCACGCCTGTTCCAGACTTGGTCCATTGCTGGATACCTTGTGGCAAAGATCTTACTTGCAGACCCATCTGCAGCTAAGATGCTCATAACTGAAGAAGATTCTGAGCTTGTCAATGCCTTCTCTTGCATGATTAGTGCCAACCCAAGAAGAAAACGCGGGCAAAAGAATTTGAAAAAAACCTACATAGTATGAATTTCTCAGTTGTGCAAGCAGAACTTGGCTGGAATATTCTCATGATAAGTGATCTAATTATCCAGGTATCAATTGGTTTTATATTAATTGTAGTAAGTGTAATATAATTATTTTTTTTGTTTTGATTCATTGGGTGGATAAGCTGAAATTTAAAGACCACCATATATATTGATTTACCATAGCATTTGTATGTAAAGATCTTGTCTACAGATATGGGGATAGAGGGGTAGCACTAGTGCTTACTAGTTTTAGTGATTATTCTTGCTTCCTACTTAAATATAATGTATGACAACTCCTTAAGAGAAGTTTGTTATGATACAAAGATTAGTCTGTTCTTTTAAGTTGATTTATATATTTATTTTCTTCAGTCGGTCATATGATCATATTCAGATTGAATGCATGCTATGCGATGATTAAATGTGATCATATGATTTTTGTGATGCATTTATTAAGCAAAAATTATTTGACATTAGATTCTATGTGCATTTCTTTAGCTGGCACAGCTAGTTGCTGAGGTGTTTTAGAAACTAGAAAGTTTCAAACTTTGGCCTTTGACTCTTTGCAAAGATGAGTATTGTTCTTCTTCTTCTGACTACTGGATTTGTATTGTGCAAACTGAAAATGCATGAGATTTCTGTTCTAGAAGCTAATTTTCTGCGGACACTGGACGGCTAACCTTTGAACAACTACTGACTCAGTCAAGTGCTTGTTAAGCCTAAGTAAAGACTCTATCTGGCATTGCTGTCTGAACTGTCACTGAGAAAAAGACTTTGTTGAAAATGTTGACTAGGGATCATTAAGAGTTATAATTGTATCAACAGTCCCCTCAACTTTTTCATTTTTGTTATTTTGGCGTTTAAGATGGAAAAAAAAAAGTGATGTATTCAAACGGTCAAATTATTTTTTCAATCAAGGGTTTACAATAACAAATCCTTCCAACAGAAATTAGGATTCATTCCTTTCTCAAAACGACACTGTTGCTTCGTGTACATAGAGCTCTGTCATCTATAATATAGGCATGACCATGGTTTTAAAACTGCCAATTTCGGTCGGAAAAAAGGTTGAATTGGGAGTGTACCACTTTTAGGCGGTTTCTAAGAGAGTTTTGGAACTATTGGTTTTGGTTTTGTTTCGGTGTTGATATGAAATTAAATAATATATTTTAAACTTTTTAAAATGCCTTTTTAAAGTTGTAGTTTGAATAAATAATAATAATAATAATATTAATAATATTAAAAAAAATTAAACCAATTTAATAAAAATTCTTGAAAGTTACTTGTTGGTAGTTTGATAATAATAATAATAATATTAATAATATTAAAAAAAATTAAACCAATTTAATAAAAATTCTTGAAAGTTACTTTAAAAAATTATAACAAAACAAAAAAGGCTTAATGACAAAGCAAAGCCTGAACTTCGACCTTTTTATCAATTCTAGCCAGTTTGTTTAACTTTATTAATCAATATCATATACTTAGTTTTCTGTATCAATTCCAGTTTCCGTTTGTCTTCTGTCCATTTCATGCTAATATGACAGTTATCTTTCACAAGTGGGCTCTATAACTTCCAATATTAGCATTAAGTCATATATCACAAATATTAAAATAAAAATCTGAACTTTAAGATTTTTATCAAATTTGGCCAGTTCTTTTAATTTTATCAATCAATACTGCGTATTAATTAATATCTATCAAATGATATTTATTCAACTAAATAGTTTATTAATTAACTATGTATATTATCAAATGATATTTATTCAACTAAATAGTTTATTAATTAACTATGTATATTAAGTGTCTGATGGGATTAATCAATTAGAATTCAATTTTATTGCAGAATCTTTTTTTTAAATGTTATTTTTAAACTATTTAAAAATGTTATCAATTAATATATTTAAAAATAATATTTTTAAAAGACTATTTAGTAAAATTGAATTTTACTTGATTAATCTCATTATACACTTAATATATATAGTTAATTAATAAACTATTTAATTGAATAAATATCAATATAACAAACCATTTGATAGAGATTAATTAGTACACGGTATTAATTGATAAAATTAAAAGAATTGACTAGATTTGATAAAAACCTTAAAGTTCAGGTTTTTTTTAATGTACGTTGATATATGACTTGGAGCTGACATTGGATGTTGTAGGGCCACTTGCGAGAGATAACTGTCATATTAGTATGAAATTAACTGAAAACAAACGGAGACTAGAATTGATACAAAAAACTAAGTACGCGTTATTGATTAATAAAATTAAAAGAACTGGTTAGAATTAAAAGTTCAAGCTTTTTTTACTCATTAAACCAACAAAAAAATAAATTGGGAGTTTCTTTAAGAATATGTTTTTATCGAGGATTACATTAAAGTAACGATAGTTTCGATTTAAAAAAAATGAAGAATCGAAACCGAACTTTAAGTGAGTAGTTTCAGTTACGTTTTAGAACTAGAACCGTTAATTATGGTTTAGTGCCGTTTTAACCGGTTTGATTTTGGTTTGCTTTTGGTTTAAAACCCAACCACGTGGTCATCCCTACTCTAATGTTTTTCTCTTCTTTTTCTCACAATTATTTTTACTATAACAGTTTCTTTCCCTTTTCTTGTTCTTGTCAATGTTATATGGAAGTAACTATGAGGTTTTGCCTAATCGGAGTCTGAGATCACTGGAAATTGGATCCGATCAAAGGGATGTTAGTCGTGGATTATATTAAGGTAAAGATAGTCATTAGAGAACCAAGTACTGAAAAAACAATATTTGATTTGTTCTCTGCCAAACAGTCCCTTCTTTGTTTTCATGTATTTTGGGCATATTGATTAGCTCTTGCACTGATGCTATTATTAATTTCTTATAATGGCTTTTAACTTCTCTATGAAGCTTAGCAGATTGTTTCCTTATTCCCCCAACCTGAGAAATTTTGACTAGGATTTCTTGAGATGACAATCTTATCCTGCTTCGCTGGCACCCTATGCCACATCTCAAATTAATTTTCACATATATAAATATAAAAAACTTAGATACAATTTATTAATTTGCATTACACTTTTCCCTCAAATAATATACAAAAGTTAATGGCTAATGATAGGGATAGAAGTGGGATGAGTATTTTAGGATAACTGTCTCGCTTTGATCCGTTTAATGATGGTACGGAAAATTATGAATGGGTTTGAGACGAGTATTTTTGAGGTACCTTATCCATTTATTATCAGTAAAAGGTGTATTGTAAATAAGTTAGTATTTGAATAATTTAAAATTTGTAAACACCAAATCCATTTAAGGGGTATTTTAAACAAGATTGGAATGGATATGAATAGTAAAATTTTAAAAGAATTCAAATACAAATACTTAAATAAATGTTTAAACGGGTATTTAATAGGTATGCGTTATACAATGAGTATGCATTGTATAATTTTAAATGAATACAAGATAAGTAATTTAAAATTCGCAATTAACCACTCCACTTTTATTCCCCACTAAAGTTGATGTTTTAGGATCTTAAGGTTTTAAGTTCGATGCTTGCCGGCAAAATCACTTTTACCATTAATGAGCAAAAAAAGAAAAAAAAAATATTTTGTACTACAAAATCTAGAAAAAAAAAAGGCAAAATTAATATTTAGCTGTGATATTATTTCTTGGGTACATTAAAATCTTTATATATAGAATATTGGGAAATACTTATACTCATGCTTTCTCGATAAACACAACCTTGCTAGTGAAAAAAAAAAAAAAAAAAAAAAAAAATCGATAAACACAACCTTCTTAGTAGTAAAAAAAAAAAAAAAAAAAAAAAAGAAGAAGAAGAAGAAGAGCTTCTCTTAGTGCATAAAGGCAGAAGAGAAAAGGCAAGCACAGTTACAAAGTCAATTATATTGTACCACGTTCAAAGTAAAAAAAAAAAAAAAAAAAAAAAGAAGAAGAAGAAGAAGAAGCTTCTCTTATGCATAAAGCAGAAGAGAAAAGGCAAGCACAGTTACAAAGTCATTATATTGTCAACCACGTTCAAAGTTTGAGATCCTGAAGAAGAAGAAGAAGAAGAAGCCTGCTTACTTGGGCCATCATATTTTTCACTTTTGTTTGTTTTTTTTTTTTTTTTCCACTTTTGTTGAAGCAATTAATTATCATATGAAAAAAGATATTCAATTTATTTTCCATAATGAGTTGAATCATTATGATCATCAAGTATTGCTTTGTCAACACAATAGAGTAGTTTAGTCAGCTTCAAATGTATTATCTCATACAAATTTAATTTTATTTTTAGAGGTTAGTCCAACAGTTGATATAGAGATGCAAACAGACTGGAGTGAGGAGGTTAGCCACTAGGGTAACAGGGTGTTTATTGGAATTAAAATTTTTTTCTCTCTCATTAAACTAACTTAAATTGTTAAGACTAATGAGAAAATAGTGTAATTTTGGACGGAATCAAAATGTAAGAACCTTATAATTGCTTTTTAGAAGTAGAGGTTCTCCAGTGTTAATTAGGTTATAATTTAAAAACAAGATTAGATTAAATTACTCTTTAAAATTAATTTATTCTTTCAAGGAAGCATGAAGGTTAATAAATTAAGGGCAAAAATCTTTTGTCTTGTACAGTGTACAGAATGCTAAAAGTACCTGCTTGTCTTGCATGTAGTAAACAGACACTTAAGAGATTGAAATGACATTATTATTTAGTGTAATCCATCTTACCAATTATGTATAATTATGGAATTAGCCATCAAAATCATGTTTAGGTTTGACCAAGGACCTCTTTTTTATTTCACATATATATTATTTTTTAATTGATTCTTTTCCAAATAGGCAAATATGTTTATTTCAATAAACAGTTAATAATAATAATAATAATAATACTTTCATAACCATTATACTAATTGTGAGTACAAATTAGTTTCCTACATCATTTTTTAAAAGTTTATTAGGGTTAGTAAAAGTGTACATATACACAAACACAACTAGCTATTATATATATTTTTTAATATATAATATATTGATTTTTATTTATAATTATTCTAATTAAAAAATATATTATATTAAAAGAAAAATGAAATATAACATATAAATTTCTAAGAGTAGGTTGGATTGACAAAAATGGAATGTAATGTCAGTAAACTTTACCTACAGAGTTAATAATTTAAAAATGTAAAATTACTATTATCGAAAGGGTTTTATTTGAATATTACTTGCGGATTTGAGTGAAAATATATATGTAGAAACAAAAGAAAAAAAAAAAGAAGAAATAAAATGCAGATTACAATCATTTTAATTAATTAAGGTATCAATTATTATTTTTGTTTTTTTAAGGAATGTTAGGGTGGCAAATTGGCTAGCATTACAACTAAATTGCCATTTATATCAACAACCAAGACTTCCTTGCCAAATGGTGTCAAAGTGAATATAATGAAAATTTTCATTCTTGGCTGGATTATTATCAAATGACAACAAGGACATGATCTTATTGAAAGTAAAGTTAACATTTTTTTAATAGAAAAAGACAGTGTGTCCAAATCCTCCCTCTTCCTATGTACAGGGTAAGCAATAATACTATTATAGTATCTCAGTTTTATACCATGATAACCAGTTCAATGTACCATCTATATTGAATTGACTATATTAAATATATAATTAATACTCATTCCGCTTTAAAAATATAAATTATTTTAGACCGATCGCTTTGTATCAAAATATAAAGCGTCGTAAACACTTTAAAGAGTAATTTATAAATTTATTTATATATATATATTATATGCAATAACTATTTTCGTAAAATTGTTTGGTATCAAATTACTCTTAATTTTATTATAACTAGTTTTTTTATGATGCATGTTGCACGTTGTTATTACTCGTTTATTATCTTTTTATATAGTTTCAGGTAATTTTTATAATTTTTCTCTTATATTATAGATTTTATAATATTGAAATATAATTTTATATTGATATTAATGTGAATTTAATAACTACTTAATGATTATAATCAAAATATTATTTTTATATATAGTTCAATTCAATTTTAAAATAGAATTGTAAATATCAATACAACTCTTCCAATCAATATATAAATATACACATATATGATTGTGTTTATTTTTTAAATATTAATTAGTATTAGTATTAATCTTTAAATATTTATAGGATATTTATTATTGTACAAGTTATAAATTATTTGATTTTTTAGATAAATCAAATATTATAATTAATCAAATATTATTTATAATTTTTAAATTGAAATCTTTCAATTGTTCATCATTAAAAATATAGTGCAATATTCAAAATTTTAATTACTTTCTTAATTACTATATAAAAATTTTAAAGATTTATATTTTGGGACGTTTGTAAAATATAAAAAATTATCTTTATATATATATATACATATAAATGTAATCCAGCTATTGGGCCCTTAATGGGTCCATGCTTCCCTAAAGAAGCCACATGTCCCAATCCCCCAACCCCATTTTGCCGGCCCTTGCTATCCTTCTTTATCTTCCTTCCCATTCCCTTCAAAATCTCACTCTCTCTTTCTTCACTCTCATTTCCACACTCACCCTTTCCTGATTTCTCGCTGGATTCCACCGCTCCATCTCCCGCTCCACCACCTACCACCACCATCATGGAACGATGCATAGAAGATCTAACAGACGATCTTGACAATCTAAGCATCACCTCCACCGCCACCACAACAACTACCACCACAGCTCAAGAAACTAAGCATAGTACAAGTTCTGGTTCTGAAACCACTTGGACTAACTCTAACCACCTGTCAACCTCCTCTAAACCTCACCACGCGCCACCATGTGATTCATGCTGGCGCGCAATCCTACGTTCCAACTGCGACAACTCAACATTAACCCTAGCTGACCTCCGGTTTGTTCACCGGTTAGGAAGCGGTGACCTAGGGAGTGTGTATCTTGTAGAGCTTAAGGAAGGCAATGGATGCTTATTTGCTGCTAAAGTTATGGACAGAAAAGAAATGGCTTCGAGGAATAAAGAAAGTAGGGCAAGGATAGAGAGGGAAATATTGGAATTGTTGGAACATCCATTTTTGCCAACTTTATATGCCACGTTAGATTCTCCTAGATGGTCTTGTTTGTTAACGGAGTTTTGTCCCGGTGGTGACCTCCACGTTCTCCGGCAACGGCAACCCGACAAACGTTTCGATGAGGCAGCTGTCCGGTATATATACATATACACATGCATTAATCCATTCTTCTTCAATTATTAAGACCAATATATATATTATAATATGTGCATATTAAATTATTGAGTTATATATACATATAAAAAATGTATTACTTACATGTACATTTTCATAAATTTTCCATTGGGTTAGTTTCTTTTTAATTAATAATTATTCATATTAAAAAGTCTTAATTTTCATAAACCTAACTAATTTTATTATTTTCAACATTAAATTGTTATAATAAAACAATAGCAAATGTAATCCCTTGATTATAAGAAATTTCTGTAATATTTTAAATTTTTTTTAATGAAATTAAAAATTTAGAGTATTATTATTTGGAGACAATATTAAAATACTATAAAAATTTTGAAATTGTGATTAGAAAAATTGTTTGAGTAGTTAATTAGAAGAGAATAAGAATTAAGGGTGTGATTACATAATGAGAAATGATGGGTGGGGCTCAATTTACCATTTGTTTAGGAATGTTCATTGCATGTAGGGTCCATAGGTTAATCTTCAAGTCTCCATGTCCAAAGGTATAGCACAGTCCTTGATTATTTTATGTGGTCCATGATAGCTTTTGGTGTGTCTCTCGTGCACTAGATCATAATATTACAATATTAAAATAAAAAAGAATGAAAATTTAATATTAGCTTGCCATGCCTTAATTTCTGGCATATTACAGGTTATAAAATGATTTTGTTTAGAATTCCTAGATTTAGATTTTTATATCGAGGTCTGGTTTGATTTAAAATGGTCTATTTTCTGAAAAATTAATTTCCCAGTAATTACATTTTTAGAAAAATTATTTTTCAAAATCATTAGGTTGATTTACCAATTATATGTCAATTGATTTGTGAATAGTTAATATTAATCTTTAAACTAAGTTTTAATAAAATAATTTAATATTAATTCATTCTCAATAATCAAAAAGTGCTGGTTCTTGCTCTTTCTATGCACAAATTTTTGCTTTTCCTTTTTTCCTTTTTGATTCTTTTATGTTCATCATGTACTCCAAAATATCAATTTTGTCATTATTATGGTGGAAACCTTCCTAATTTTCTAAATTTGGCCCTACTAAAATCCCAAATTGAAGATTTTCCTAGGCCCAAAAAAAGAAGACACCCCAGTAGTAAATTAGGGCATTAAATTAAAATTTGATTCATTTTTTTATTTTTACTTTTTTTCCCCCTTCTCTTTTCATCATCACATGGCAATGTGTTTTCTTTTTAAAATTTGTCTAAGAAAAAGATGTCTTTTTAAATTTCAAACACTCATGCAACTAAATATAATTTGTTGTCTAATCAAATGTCATTAAGCAATCAAATGAACATAATTGGTCTACACAGTAGGTTTTACATTATAATTATTTTTAATTATTTTTTTTTAATAACACTGTGGATTATATGACTCGGATAGCCCTTTCGTTTGAATAATATTTTGTTAAATTTGTAATGAAGAGAACTCGAAGACACTCTATGTATCTATGAAGATTCATATTGTTTAGTATCATTATTGTTTTTCATTTCTGATTTTCAATTGTTAAAGATTAGTAATATTATTGTGGATTTTATTTTTGTTATTTAATTGCATAAACTGTAGAAAAAAAGGTTTTTACATGCAATAAATAGTTTTTGTTTTCTTTTATAAAATAAAAAAAAAAAAACAGAAATAATCCCAAATTATAAGCCCTGAGAGTTTTGTTTTGGTTTGCTTTTAGGTTTTATGCATCAGAAGTTGTAGCTGCCTTGGAATATCTACACATGATGGGTATTATATATCGCGATCTCAAGCCAGAAAATGTTCTTGTAAGATCGGACGGTCACATCATGCTTACAGATTTTGATCTCTCCTTAAAAGATGACAGTACTACATCAACGGCTCAGATTGTTTCTGATCAAAACCAACCAGCTACAAACTCAATAAATGACTACTACCCTCCTGACCCACCTCAATCTGCCACATCATCATGCATTATACCCAATTGCATTGTGCCAGCTGTCTCATGCTTCCACCCAATCCGTAGACGCAAAAGAAAATCCAATCAGCGTGGGATCCTGGAGATAGTGGCGGAGCCAATAGATGTTCGATCAATGTCATTCGTTGGGACCCACGAGTACTTGGCACCGGAGATCGTCTCCGGCGAGGGACATGGTAGTGCAGTGGATTGGTGGACCTTAGGCATATTCATATTTGAATTATTGTATGGCATTACTCCATTTAAAGGGATTGATCATGAGCTAACCCTAGCTAATATTATGGCTCGAGCCCTTGAATTTCCAAAGGAGCCGCCGGTTCCGGCATCAGCTAAGGATTTGATCACACAACTTCTGGTCAAGGATCCGGGGAGACGATTAGGATCAACAATGGGGGCAACTGCAATCAAACATCATCAATTTTTTAATGGAACTAATTGGGCATTATTAAGATGTAGAAAGCCACCTTATGTTCCTCGAGCAGTAACTCGTCCAGGCTTTATAAAAGAAAATACTAGTAATAATTCCATAGAATATTACTAGTAAAAACTTAGAAGAAATTTATTTATTATTTTTTTAAAATTTTTTGTGGATGAAAAAATGTGAGTTATAGCAAAGAGGAAAATTTAATTACATTGTTTTAATTTAGGGTTCATAGACAAAACAAAATTCTTGCTTGAAATATTTAAATAAAATTACTTTTGCATTTAGAAAAAGAATATATTATTTTTAGGGTTTTCCTTTAGTTTTTAATCGGACGAAGGCTCGTGCTCTGTTACTCTAATGATTTGTAATTTTTAATTTGTAAACAATTTATATTTATAATATATAAATTATATTTAATATATATTATAAGGGTTTTCCTTTAGTTTTTTAAATCGGACGAAGGCTCGTGCTCTGTTACCATGATTTGTAATTTTTAATTTGTAACCAATTTAGTATTTATAATAATATAAATTATATTTTATTTAATATATATTATAAGATTTATTTTTATTTTTTATTAAATTCTCGTGTTATATAAAGTTATAATACCATTAATTTGTTTAAGATAATTATAAACTCAAGTGTCAATCAAGTCTAAAGTCATCGGGCAAGTACAATGCATCGCATTTGACACTTGAGAAAGGTAAGTTTGCAGCTTCACAGCATCACATTTGACACTTGAGGAAGATAAGTTTGTAGCTTCTTTTTGAAGAGACTTCAATTAATTTTAACTAAATTTTAATCAGAGTTTATAATTCAAACAAGTTTATAATTTTAATCAGACTTCAATATATATATATATTGAAAAAAATCCTTATAAGAGAGAAACTAATAACCTTTTAATTGTTAAATATTAGTCATGAAATGATTTAAATATATTTGTAATTAATAATAAAAATATCACGTATGTGCTTCTGGAATATTGTTCTCTCTCTACAAATTTTGACCAATTACATGTCACACTCTAAAACATTAAATTTAATTTTGAGCAATGTATAAAATATTAATTAATTTTAATATCAAATAAATAATAATAACATTAATAATCCAAAAAAAAAAAAGTCTCTTCAAAGCAGAAATTGAAAAAAAAAAGAAAAAGCAATGACCCTGGATTAAATAGTAAAATCAAAGTGAAACAAAAGAGAAAAAAAAATGAAAAAAATTAAATTATGAGAAAAGAAGATCAAAGATTAAGTGAGAAATTACCTATAAATAAATCTAGTTTTTTTATTTAGAATTCAAAGAAAGAAAAGAAGGAAATATGGAAAGAAAAAGAAAACCTAACCTAAGAATGATTTAGATTTCATTTTTTGCAAGGACTAAACTATTCGAGAGCATTTTATGTTTCTCTTCCCTCGTCTTATTTATCTATTTTTTTAAATGATATTTGAAAAATGGGATCTACAGCCAAGAGTTCTTGTGAATTTTGATTAAAACAATTATTTATATATATATATATATAATTGATTATTCAAAATTTAAATGCTGGAATAAAAGAATAATGCTTAATTTGTTTAAAATAGTTTTTGAATTGATTTGCTAGCTTGTTCCAACGATATATTAGAAGTGATACTTTTAATAGGTACTAATTAACAAATCAATTTAATCCATTTTTCGATTGGTTGACCTAATTTTCTCTTAGCTCAAATCTCAAATATAATAAAATTTAATTTTAGATAAATTGTCATCATTATTTCTCGAATAAATATAATTTGTTTTACCCCTTCTTTTCACATCTTTAACGGGGCCATCAACAACCATTTTACTTAGATGAGCAAAATGCATGTGAGTGGGGCAGAGGGTTGGCAACCCTCTTCATGACATTTTCTGAATCTTATTATTATAGGCTAACATTCAGTTTTACATTTTACCATAAAAAACAATAATCAAACCATGTGCAGTGTTTCTTTATCCAAGGAAAGGTGAAAAAAAAAAAAAAAAAAAGCCTTATGGCTAACATTCAGTTTTACATTTTCCATAAAAACAATAATCAAAAACCAATGTGCAAGTGTTATCTTTATCCATAGGAAAGGTGAAAAAAAAAAAAAAACAAAAAACCCTAAGGTGAGATGGATTAGAATACCCTTGATGTTATTATTAGTATACCTTACTATCTGAGTATGAATATTAAGTAATGAAGTCCATTTAACCCTCAGTGCAAAAAAAAAAAAAAAAAAAACCCTCAAGAGGTGAGATGGGATGAGAAATACCCTTGATGTTATTATTAGTATACCCTCGAGTTTGAATATTAAGTATGAAGTCCCATTAAACCCTCAGTGCGAATCCGAATTAAACGGGTCAGTGAGCTTTGGATACCGAACAATTAAAATAATATTAACAGATTTTTAAATTTTGTTTCAGTTTCTATTTATTTGAAGATTATTTTTCTGGATTAAGGGTAATTGGATCCCGTTTAATTTAGTTGAACCCTTTAGATATCAGTAAATTGCCTTTATTTAACCACAGTAATTTTTTTTTCTAGATTTTAGAGAATTTTATTCACAGAAATAAAATATATAGCCAATAGAGAATAAAATATAATATTTACAGATCATAATATTTCAATGCAAGTTGAAAATGAATAATTTTACAAATAAAAATATTAAGTTGACAGAGTCATTAATTTAATATGATAATGACAAGCAAAAGTCGCTTAAGTGGTAATACTAAGCAACAATTTAAACTATGTTTTTTCAGATACTTCTAATTGCATAATTATAAATATTCCATGACCCATTTCTCCTGAAATGTTTACCATCAATCTCATACTAGAAGAGTGATAATTATGAAAGAAGAATAAGAAACTCTTATTAGAGAGAGAACAAAAACAAGTATAAACGGGTATTTAGAAACTCTTTAAACATTCGGAAAGGAATATTTTGCCTCTTTATAGACCTGCCCACATGAATCCAAATTATTTGCCTCTTATTTAGGCCTCACCCGTAAGATTAATTGGGTCCGTAGGCTTCGAACAGCGCACAGTAAGATAAAAAAAAAAGGATCAAGTTTACAATTAAAAAAAAATAAAACAATAAAAAAAGGGAAATCAATTTTTTAAGCTAGTGATGGCCCAAAACCTTGACAAGGCCCAAAACAGGTATTTTTTTCTGGAATAGCTCGCGTGTTTTATTTATGGTATTTTTAGGATTCCGAATTAATATTTTGAACTCTCTTATAAACCAAAATTAAATAATAATAAAAAAAATCAATCAAGTCGTAATATGAAATCCTATTTCCAATTTGACAATAATCATACAGAAAGCATCCTGAGTTAGCCATCGTAGCTTACAACCAAGTATAAGGATGCTAAATTATGACAACACACAACACAACAATATGCATTACAACAAACTATGATCCATAACGGACCTAGTTCATAAAGCAAATGGTGTTAACAATATCAAGCAACAGCCACAGTTTCTGCAGGCTCACTCACAGTTTCTGCAGGCTTTGTTTCGGGGGCAGCGGGTGCTTCTGCTTCCCAGAATTCAGTCTTCTTCCCTGTCTTCGAAACAGTCTGAAGAACTGCCTCTGGCTGCACATTTCCCTTTACTGTAACCTTCTGCTCTTGCAAATCAATGTCATATGATTCCACGCCTAAACACAGTTTAAAAAGAATACCAGAAATTGTTACCAAATATACAAGTACTCATATCTGCAGCAGCAGCAGCAGCAGCAGCAAGATAGAAGAGAAAAACAACAACTAAGGCTTAATCCCAAACTAGCTGGAGTTGGCTATATGAATCATTTGTTTCCACTATCCGCTTTGATCAAATTAATATCAATGCAAATTGAACTATATGTAGGGAAAAAGAATTCCTGAACAGATATGGTAATTGCCGCTCAAATTTTGAAGCATATAACAAATTGGATGTGCAAACGCTTGTTTTGCGACTACAAGCAGATGGAATATTATATATCCTAGCTTCCCTCATTAAGTCAGTATAAACCATAGTACACAAATATGATTTTTGTTTTCCATAAAGAGATAAAGAGAAGCTCTTTGAATAGAATTTTAACAATACTAATGAAGAAAAAATGCAAACTAAGTTACCCAGCATTAGCAAAGCCTATCTCAAAATACTTGCCAAGACAGGGAAAGATTAATTGCAAAATATGCTTGAGGCAATCAGGCATAAATATAAATTTTATAATGAACAAAAGGTGCAAAATTGAAAAAGAATTAACCACAGAGAAAAAAACTTTGAGTTAATGACATACCTTCCATTTTCCCCAAAACCCTCTTCACTGCCCCAACACAACCTTGGCATGACATACCAACCTTAAGCACAACAGTCTGCAACGAAATCAAACCGAATATCAGATAAGAAAAATCCCAATATTGCAGCATATATCTTTTAAAATGCGACTAATAATAGGCACGATAAATTTGATCACATTTGATCTCAGATTGAGCTATGATAAAGAGAGAAAGATGCATTAATCAGTACATGAAGAATTGAAGGAAAGGAAAGAAGTGGTGAAATAGGCAAGAGAAAAGGGAAGAAGAGGCGATAAGAAGCCATGTTTTAGAACTTCAGACTACTAATATCAATTGCTCTTAGAAGTTACAAAATCAATTGCTACAGATGAAAATTTAAAAGAGAAGGCAAAAAAAAAAACACATATGAAAGCAATATGAAAACTTCACTTCCCCTGAAACTTATCCAATCAACTATTTAACAAAGATTTGATTAAAAGGAAATATATTGCGAAGCATCACGGAATGAAAATCTGACTTCCTTATATGCTCACCAACAACAACTATAAATGAAAAATCCAATTCATTTACTACATTTTCAATCTGTTGCCATAATTATTCAATTCTCAGGTCAACTGGGCAAATCTTGACGCCCTTCAAACCCCAGAATTCAATTTTGCAGATTTGGGGAACTTTGTTCAAAATTTCAATTCATAGGCCAGATTAAACAAGACAATAAGAAATATCCCTACAAAATCATTAAATTAGCCAGATTAAATCAATTCATAGGCCAGATTAAACAAGAAAATAAGAAATATCCCTACAAAATCATTAAAGATTAAATCAATTCATAGGCCAGATTAAACAAGAAAATAAGAAATATCCCTACAAAATCATTAAATTAGCCAGATTAAATCAATTCATAGGCCAGATTAAACAAGAAAATAAGAAATATCCCTACAAAATCATTAAATTAGCCAATAATTCCACCAACAACAAATTCATTAAAACAGAAAATTCCAAATAAATCCAACAATCCCAATTCATTACTATCCACAAAAAATAAAACCCAGCAAAAAAAAAAGAAACAACAAAGAAAATTCAAGAAAAGAAACGCAGATTATAAAATCAGACTCTAATTAACCAAAATCAAGAAAATATGTAAGAAGTATAATAGGAACCTGAGACATTCTTGTGGCTGTAGGCGTATAAAAAATCCGAACAACTGAAGAATATTTTGATCTGTATGATTGATTTATGCGGTTTCGTATTGGAGCTTGCAAACTTGCAAGTTTGCTTCTTATGGTTGTAGATTTATAGACTTTTCCCGATATTTTGTTGGGTCGGGTCAGTGGGTCTGAATGGGACCCACCTTATTATACCTGTCAACCGTTTACAAACGCAATTACGCTAAACGAAGACGGGTTATGTTATGGGTAATGAATTAATTATGGGTCGGGTCAGTGGATCTCAATGGGACCCACTTTATTATACTGTTTTACGAAGGTAATTAGGCCAAACGAAGACGGGTTAATTTACGGATAACGAGTTAATTATGTTTTACTTCTAGGCATCCTGGGTGGAGCTGTATTTTCGTTAAACATATCTGTAAGGGAAAGGGGCGAGGAGCTTAATTATGATTAAGCTCCGAGCTCGATTAATCGGCCTCTGTAACAGGACGTGGATAACAATAGTTTACACTGAAAAAATTTAAATTACCTTCATAATAAGAAAAAAAAAGGGCGTGTTAATTCAAAATGGGAGAGAACTAATGCTTGGATTAGGTAGCTTTCTCCCACCAAATGACTTTGAAGAAAAGGCATTAGGTAGTACAAGCTTGTACTAGCAGAAAAGTACAGAGGCAGATGCAGTACCATCGTACATTTGTACGCATTTGCTGCTTTATCTGATGTGAGAAACCATATGCACAAAACAACACTTATCTGCCTTCAATGGGTCAATACGCATTTTCTATTGTAGTTTGCTGTTGTTGGACTATTAACTCCTTAGCATGATAAGCTGGGCCTCTGAGACAAAAGTTTAAACCGACTGTACCATTTTAACAAATCCAAATCAACAAATCTCCAAAAACCACCCAAATGAAAATAATAAACCAAAAAAGAAAAGAAATTTGAAAATAAGGAAAACAAATTGAAAAACAGAAACCCAATATTTTATTCATCAACAACAATAAGAAACATCGGTCAATGTTCAAAAATCAAATGCCACAAAATGTCAAACAAAAATAATAAATCAAATACCATAATAATAATAATAATAATAATAATAATAATCTAAAACATTGGTTCGGCTATCCAAGAGAGACGACGTCGTTTTCACCGAAGAAAAGTGTATAGTGCAACGAGAGGCTGAACGACAAAGTCTGTATGCAGTGATGATGAAGAACAAATCAAGAGTTCATCATCAAATCTGCAACCCAGTAGTACTGGGGATAGATGGCATTGCTTGCACTACAAAAAAAACGTCATTTTGCGACCGATAAATCGGTCGCAAAATGGCTAACATCGGTCGCAAATTGTACTTTGCGACCGATCTGCGACCGACTGTACACGTCTGTATGTCAGTGAGATGAGTAAACAATCAAGAAGTTCATCATCAAATCTTGCAATCCTCAGCTAGTAACCGAGATAGATGGTGCTATTGCTTGCACTTACAAAAAAACGTCATTTTGCGACCGATAGATAGTCGGGGTCGCAAAAATGTGCTAACGATCGGTCGCAAAATTGCTCATCGTTGCGTAAGATCTGGCGACCATGAAATATGTCGTCGCAGAAACTACCTGGTCGAAAAAATAATAGACGACCTTTCGACTTATACCAATCTATCGGTGCTGCTATTATGCGACCGAATTTAATTATTTTTTCGCGTCGCCCTTTTGAAAACTGAGGATTATACATATTATCCGAGTCGCCTTTTCATCTATTTTGGGTCCGTGGTTTTACATTATGTAAAATTCAGCTCGCTAATTTCGGTCGGCCAGGAAAAACGGTCGCAAATATTTTTAATCGGGTTCGCAAATCGTTGATTGATCTTGCTTGTGGGTTACGCCAAAAATGTAAATGTTAAAAATTGTAAGTTTAGGTATCAAATCGGTCGCGAAACCCGCGGTCGCAAACCTTACAAAAAAAAAAAAAAAAAAATTAATAATTAATTATAAACAAAATTTTCCTTGTGCACCTCACTCCGAATATGAGACGGCTTATAGGAGGATGCAGAGCGGACTATAAGGTGTGCCTCCGGAGTTACTACTGTGAATTGAACATAATATACACATCATATAGGCATCTACAACGCAACCTTCAACCAGAACAATGTAAAAATTATTGACACACAACAGGTCTACATATATAGATTACCGAGTCAATCTAGCGACGCCAGAGAAGGCGCTGGCCCAGAATATCATACAATTAATTACAGTACGAAGTTGCTTTTAATCATCTCTTTTTTCGTAACCAGGTAGTTGGACATACCCAATCCCCCGAACTAATTTTTTTGTCCGAAATAAAAATTATCAACATTGAATGTGGCCCTTCACGCAACATATTCCATTTGCTTAACTGTACAATAATCATCGTAACACCTTTCTTGAAAGAAATTGGTGCTGTAGTTATTGTTCCGCTTTCATGTGAAGTAAATTAACGGTGCAACCAACAGACAAGGAACTGAATGATTTCTTGCAGTCCAGGCCCACATGTTTCCAATCAACTGTTAGCGTTCACTAACCGACAAGCTGATGTCAAACAATTTATGTGAGCCTGCTACATTTGGCGATCTCCTCCATATTATCCCAATCATATTACGTAGTTTTTTAGCGGATGTCTACGTATACTCCGCAGTACGAACCCTAATCATGTGCAATTGAAAATGTACCGTATTTAACCTGGGAAGTTTTCACTGATGAGTACAGAAACTGAGAATTATATCAGACTGATACTTTTCTACCAACTTATACCGGAAATGAAGTGGCCTGACTCCACTGAGAGACTTCCGGCTCGGTTCACCCCATGATGTAGGGATACATAATCGTAAATAGATTTTCTCAACAAACGCATACCATTTTTTGGCACAAAATATGAAGTTTTCACTCAGGTATCGATAGTCGGTTAAGAAGGCTCGAATTTCATCAAGAGATCACTTCTTGTGATTACATGCATGGACACCTCACTACTAGGCCTCCAACCAAACCAAACGCATCATTCATTTTTAAAAAAAATTTAAGAATAATAACAACAATAATAAAAAAATGCATTATTTCATAATTATAAAAAAAGAGTAATTTCAATGACATGTATCATAACATAATTATTATTAAAAATTAGCCCATTTTATAAAATATAGAGATAACATAATAAATTTTCCTTAACAATAACTAATGGACAGTGAAAGCTGCTCTAAATTTTAAAGAGCGCATAATTTTGCACACACGGGATTTCGCAATCCTTACAATTAAATCCAAAAATTAATTAACATGAATCATATGCCTAAGAGAATATTCCAATAAGTAGAAGCAACGAAGAGAAATAACAGTAAAAAAGTGTTGATATATAAATAAATATATGTAAAAAAAAATTAATATTGGGAATTAAAGGGAAATTTGCAAATGAGATGAGAGGAGTGAATTTCAATTAATATGTAATTTTTGCAACTAATTATTTTATGTTGTTTAAAATATTAGTATTATTCTAAAAAATGAGAAATACTTTCTGAAAAATTAGAATAATTTAATTTATTGATGTAAATTTTAAACATTTATTTTCTTTAATTCATGTTTTATTTTTTCAACTCGAATACTTACTTATATGTTTTTTATATTTCATTTTTAATTATTATGTTATTTAGTTTTTATTAAAAAAAATTCAAACTATCATGTTTATGTCTTATTTGAAAATTAAAATTACATATTTTTTAATATTATCATTTTTTTATTTATTACTATGTAGTTATACTATGTAGTTATAATATTTAGTTATCCTATATATATAATAATATATATATGTTAGTTTATACAAGAATAGAAATGCATTATAGGAACAATAATCGCAAATTGGGAAATTTTAGCAAATATCAAAGTAAAAATTCATTTTGGTTCCAAGAAAAAGGTCAGAAAAAGAGAAATTTTCCCAGATTCCCTTATTATTATTAGGTGTTTGGATATGTGTTCTTCAATGGTATCATTTAGTATTACATTCATTTATTAGATATGTATTTGGGTATTAGATTTAATTTAAAGTTTTAATTAATTAATATATTACATTTATTTATGTGATTTTTATTTCGATTCAAAATTTTTTTAAGTTGGTTAGATTTAAATGAATTTCATAACATTAGATTATATTCGATTTCTTATGACACAAGGTAAAAGTGAGATTTTTAAGCTTATTACTATTAGGTATGGTGTATTTTGATATATTTTTTTTTTCTATTGAAAGTTGCTAATATATTAATTATTTTAATCGGGGTTATTATTATAATTATTGAGTATGAGTAAATTTACAATGGGATAATGATTTTTACATATTTTTACAAAGTAAAGTGACTCGCCCTTACTTGTTTTTACAATTTAATTTATGATTTCTTACGTTTAATTTTGCATATAATTATTTTAATTTATATTTACTCTAATAAATTTTATTTTTTACACTATTAATGAATTATTATTTTTATTTACACATATTAATGAAGTATATTTTATGTATATATTGTTTCCACTAAATTACAAAAATTTTTATTGATTCGCTGGACATATTATTAGCATTTAACCATTTGTTAGCCAGATAATTGAAGTATATATTTTCTAATAATTGATTTTTTTAAACCGTTTTGCGAATAAAAAACTGGGCCAAAAACCGATTCATTTTTTTGGTTCAATTTGCGGTTCAATTATCAGAATATCCAGTCTCTTTTTTTCATCTTAATATTTACCAAAATCTGACAATCTAAGTTCAAATTAAAAGGATAGTTGCTGCAAATGACACTGTATGCCTTCAGTTAGGTTCAATTAATCATTTTTTTTCTAAATCGAACCAAATTGAAAAACTAAAATTTTCTTCAAATTAAAAAGAAAAATGTATCGAAACCAAAGACTGAAAAATCTTCCTTCAATCGGTTCAGTGCAGTTTTTTCAATTTTTTTTTCCAAGTTTACGCACCCTAAATTTAGGTTCAAACAAAGTATTTATAGACATATTTGAATACACTCTCACAAACAAAGTATTTAGGTTCAGTGCAGTATAAACATTAACCGCTCAATAAAGAAAATGTATCGAACCAAAGACTGAAAAATCAGAACTACATCCGGTTCAGTGCATTTATCATTTTTTTTTTTTGCAAGTTTACTCACCCTAAATTTAGGTTCAAACAAAGTATTTACTAGACAAAATTAATATATGCCAAATACACATAAATCGCTAAATAAAAAAAAATTTAAAAAAAATGAAAAAAAAAAATCAAAAAAATCGCAAAAATACCTTGGAAAAAATGTCCAAGAAGACGTGTAGCAACCGGAGGGGCTGGACGGGCGTCAGGAGGGCGAACCGGCCAGCGGCGTTCAGGCGGGGCCTGGAGTGGCGTCAGGAGGGGCTGGAGCGGCCTGCCGAACAGAGGGAAGAGGAGAGGAGGAGAGGAGAAGAAAAGAAAAGAGAAGGGAAAGAAGGTAGGAGGGCGCTGGCGTTTAAAGCCCTTAAAGCCCTAATAATTGCGACCGACAAGTCGGTCGCAAATCGGTCGCAATTTTTAAACCTGCGACGTCGTTTTACATGCAGTCCAATTTGCGACCGATTTGCGATCAAATAAGTCGGTCGCAAAAAATCGGTCTCAAATAAGTCGCACATCGGTCGCAAAAATCATTCCAAATTTTGAACGGCTAAATTTTGCGACCGATAAACCTTAGCCGCAATATCGGTCGCAAATCCGTCGCAACTCGGTCACAAACTGAGAAACAAGATCGCGAGAATTTTTAGCGCTAAAATTCCCGACGGTTTTTTCTTCTGTAGTAAATCTGTCGCAAATTTGCGACCGATATCTGTCGGTCGCAAAAATCGGTCGCAATTTAGCGTTTTTTTTGTAGTATCGGTTCGCAAATTTCGACGGTTTTTTCTTCTGTAGTAAATCTGTCGCAAATTTGCGACCGATATTTGTCGGTCGCAAAAATCGGTCGCAATTTAGCGTTTTTTTTGTAGTGTTGCTTTTTGTCTTGACTAATTAATGTAGTTTTTGCAAGATATTATATATATACTTGTCGAAACAAGCAAACTATTGAAATTTGAAAAAAATGATGCTTTTCAGTAATGACTTCTGAATGCAGGAGATCACATGGGAGCTCGGATGAAACACGAAAATAATTCAGTATCTTTCACCCACTTCTTACTTATCTTTCCTCTTTTACAATTTTTTCTTGGTCCATGCAACATAATCTTGGGACTATTACCAAGACTTCTCCAAGTTATTAACAAGAACACAGGTTTATCCTATTCACTCATTTGGACAAAAGTTAATGTATAGTAATTATGTTGGTCCAATGGATTCAGTACGGACTATTCAATATGATTAGTAATTTACGAAAAAAGAAATAGTTTATGTCTGAACAGAACTAATCAGTAGCTACTGCCTCTTAACTAGAACTTAAAATATAAGAAATGTCTTGTCTTCCTTGGTTTCTCTCTCTATACTGCTATATTGGTCTTTCAAGAGTAATGATTCTTGTAAAAATGAATCAGATTGCAATTAGAAATACATCTGTTGTACTTGTATGCTGCTTTTTGTAGATTGAAATTATTTCAAACCCAGTTTTAGAAACTAGTTTCTCTGCTATTCTTCTAAAATTTCTTTTATTAGGTTTATAATCTGACATTGCTATGGTTTCGAACTCATGCAGCTTCTCTGCAATTTTCATAGACCGGTTCATATCAAGTACTGGACATTCAACTATGCTGCCTTGCATTCCATTCGTAGATAGTACAATATGGGGACCCACAAGCAAGTCAATCAAACGTTTACATGGGAAGGGAATTGCATAGGGGAAAGGTTAATTATGTAATTTCAAAGATGAAAAAAATGTGAAAAAGATTGGGAAAAGTTAATGATGTACATGGGACCCACAAGAATCTTTTTGTTTTATGAAATGAGGGTTAAAACCCTGGACGGAATAACAAAGAAGGCTTCATTGACCTCGAGCCAAGGTCCCTGCATCCAAGCCATTTCGGGTTAGTCTTCAAGCTTATCCTCTTCTCCTTCAATCTATAATGAGAGATAGCAACGGGTCAGATGAACCATATCAAGTTTAAAATTTTTGACAAGCCTTTTTATGAACCAACCGAATAATTGATACCTTCGATAGCAACAAAAGATATCTTTAATCTACCTTTTTATATTAAATTTAAAATTTTTGACAATTTATTCAGAAAGTTTTAGATGAACCAACTGAATAGTTAATTAAGATAATTGATTAAATAATATCCCGTGATAATGAATTTTTTTTTTATAATTCTTGTTCTTTTAAAGTATTGTTCCGTAACTCAATAATAAACACATTGTTATTATATAAAATTAAAAATTCATGCTTTCTATTGTAAATTAATTAATTTATTAAATATTACAATTAGATTAAATATGATATGTCATTAAGTTGAATATTATAATCTAATTTAATTTATTAAACTTCCAAAATTATAATCTAGGAGGAGAAGTCGATAATTATTAAACTAAAATTAGTAGGTTATAAAAAGAAAAAATTAAAAAGAAACAAAATTACACAAATTAAGTAAATTTTAACTTTTTTTTGAACAAAAATTATTTAAATGATGCTACATGCATGGCTCCGTCCTGTCCATGGTTCCAAAACGCTGCACTGCTACAAATGATGCTTACATCATTTATAACTTGAGCAACGTTTCAGTCCAAAAACCGCCTTTGCCCTTTCAGTATTTTAATAATTTCGTTCAACTGCCCTCACAATCTGATGTACAAAAGTTTACTAATACTGACAACGGTGGCCCACCATTTTGATTAAAAGAGAGCCCGATACATATGTGTGATTCCCGCTGTGTATCTGTGCTCTTTTATGATTTCCCACTTCAAAAGGAGGAGAAATTTGCTGATCTACCATTGCTGCAGATTGCAGGGGTTTTTCCTTAGTTCTCTCAACTCATTACAAGTTCGCTTCCTCTACTGATATTGAGACTTGAGCCTGAGTTCTTTCTTTACTATTCTTTTTCTTTCGTTTCCCAGTTTTCTCTTCATCACGATAGAATGGCTAGAAGCTTGGTGTTTGAGGCAGATAGCACACCCCAGTTTTTCAAGATAATTAGTCAAGATTCCATTCGTGACGGGAAGCTTGTAACTGTTCTTTTAATCGTTCTTTATGTAACTTATGGTTTCATATCTCTTAGAGCATGTTTGGTTGTTTGAGAATGAAATAGTTGTGTGATTTATTTTATGTGTATCAGGGCATTCCTGCGAAATTTGTAAGGAAGTATGGAGGTATATTGCCAAGTTCTACAGTTCTTAAGGTGCCTAGTGGTGACAAATGGAGAGTAGAGCTAATCAAATGTGATGGTGAGATTTGGTTAAAGAATGGGTGGCAAGAATTCGCCAAATTTTACTCTTTAGCCTATGGATCTTTTCTAGTATTTCAATATGATAAGAAAAGTTGTCACTTCAATGTGATTATACTTGACAAGAGCGCTACAGAGATTGAATATCCCTATGATGTTTCTCATGGAGATACTGTGCAGCCTAATGGCCTTGAAAAAGAATTTCAAGAGCAAAAGATTGAAGTAGAAAGTGAAAGTGAAGCTTCTGTTGATAGCTTGGATCGGTTTTTGCAGTCCCAGAAAAGAAAAATGAAATCACCTTTGTCATGCCCTCAGCCTCCAAAGAAGATGAAGCAAGAGAAACCCACGAGAAAAAATAAAGGTATATATCTAATTTTTGACAGACAAAAGTAATGCAGATCACCTTTTTTTTTTTTTTTTTTTTTTTTTTTTTTTGGCTTCTAACCAGAAAACTAGAGGACTTGTTTTTTGCGCTAAAAAGAGAAATGGAGGCTTGTTTTGGTGGGAACTAGATCGTTTAGGGGTTGACTGACAAGTGAAGAAAAAGTAATGATGCACTTCGTAGAGCAAATACTAAAATTTAAGTCTGAAAAATCATTCTTTCATTTTTTTTTTTTTTTTTTGGCTTCTAACAGAACTAGAGGACTTGCTTTTGCAGCTAAAAAGAGAAATGGAGGCTTGTTTCGTGAGGAACATAGATCAGTTAGGGTTATAAAACGACTGACAAGTGAAGAAAAGTATGATGCACTTCGTAGAGCAAATACTAATTTCAAGTCTGAAAATCCATTCTTCAGCATGGCAATGCAGCCATCATATGTTTATGTTGGAAGTATATTGGTAACATTCAATAAAAGTTTTCTGTATTAGACTGTTAAAAAATCTTGTTTCATGTTTTAATCTAACTTTTTGGCTTTTTAATTTTTTGCATAGCCTATACCATCACACTTTTCCAAGATATATTTCAAAGAGGAGCAAGGCAAGGCTTCCCTGAATACTTGGTCTGTTGAGTACACAAGCACTTGGTGCAATGGAAGAAAATCAATAAGACTAAGTAATGGTTGGAGGGAATTTGAAAAAGAAAATCACTTGGAAGTTGGTGATGTTTGTTTCTTTGAACTAATCGAACCCACTGAAATGACATTCAAAGTTACTATCTTTAGACATGCTGAAGGTGAACACAAATTTAATCAACCAGTTGCTACAGATAAATGTTTCAGAAAAGAGAACTAACTCTGCAGAAATTTTGCAGGTAGCAAGCAGCAATCTGTGGGTGAGAAAAGTGCTAGCAGGGAGAAGTTTATTCGAAACTCTTCATCTTCAAATCTGCCTGTTACTATTGAATCCACTGAAGAGTTTTCTTCAATCTATCCGTTCTTCAAAGCGGTTATTTCATCAAGCCATCTAGACCGTTCCAATGTGGTAAGAGTCTAGCTCTAAGCTCATAGTGCATAATGACTCTCATTTCCCTTAAAGATTTATAATGTATGAAAAGATATTTACCAATTAATGCAAATTTTGTGAATTTTGATGGTATTAATGATTATACTTTTGCAGCATCTACCGTACAATTTTGTGAGCGACATCCATCAAAGCAAAGTGAAAGCAAGGTTGCAGGTGGAAAATAAATGGTGGGATGTGATTTTAAATATCTACCGACGTAAAAACAGAAGCAGAGGCCTGATATCTGCTGGATGGCGTAGATTTTCAAGAGAGAATTTTCTGCGAGTGGGAGATTTTTGTATGTTTGAGCTGATTGACAGTAAACCTGAGATGGTTCTTATGAATGTCACCATTATTAGGAATTCCTAGTGATCATTTTTAGTTTGACATGTTGATTTGTGATTGTCTTATGTTTAGAATTATGCTTGGACGGTTTTTATTTGCTGTAACTTAAAAATTTTTTGTTATTTAATTATCATCGTTTACATATGATTGTCATGAAAATTGATCTATTGTTTTCACACACCAATTCACTTCCATGTTCTTCTTCCTCTTCATCAATATTTTAGTCTCTTGGAATTCTTCTTGATCAACTAACAGTGTCTGGATACTCCATTCCTAATCCACTTCTATCACATACCAGTATTTGGAAATCTTGCTTAAAAATAGCACGCCTCTTACTATCAAACCAAATCTTTCCCTTACTGCTCAACAACTCAATTTGCCATGTAGCACCACTTAGGTCCATATCCTTTAAAAGTCAATTTATCTATGTACGCTTGCTTCGTTATAGATTGATAGATACTTCGCTAGTTGAATTCATGGTTGGTCTTCTTGGGACAGCCAAGAGTGGAATTCGGACTTTTACTCAAAAAGTTTGAAAGTTGATGAACATGGCAACTAAGGGTCCATAGCTCAGTGGTAGAGCATTTGACTGCAGATCAAGAGGTCACCGGTTCGAACCCGGTTGGGCCCTCTTATGTCTTCTTTTTTTTTTTTTTTTTCCTTAATTTCCAAATTTCTCTTTTTATTTTTCATTAAACCTTCAAATATCATTTTCTGTTTTGCTCTTTCAAGTTTTTACTTCCTTACACTTCTACACCTATTTCTCTATTCGACAACGCAAACAAAGAGAAGTGTCAACCCATATCTATTATTTTAAAACTGAGAAACGTCCCAGTACAAATTTAAAAATTATATCAAAGGAAATCCGGGGGCAGAGATATTCTTTTATTCAATTCAAATGGCAACAGCTTATCTAACGTTTGGAATGCTGAAGAATAATAATAAAAAAAAAAAAACATGAAAAACAATGGTCATTTGGAACATAAAATGCAGTGTACATTCTCATTATCAGGGTCTTTAAAGACCATTATCATTTCACCAATCAAAATACTTAAAAAGAATGTGTTCTTTTAAATCCGAGCAGACAAGCGTTCCTAAACCATTTTGTATGAGATGATGCAAGTTAAAACCATGACAAAGCAATTTGCCCCAGAATACGAACCAGACCGAGAGATTAACAATAATCACCCAGAACAGTAGCAGTTGCGAATGTAAAGGGGTGCTCATAAAATTTAGATTCCAAAAAGAGATACAGGGAAATGGTGAAAAAGGAAGTAATACATCAAAAAACAATCCTCACTTCTGCTGCTGTGCAGAGGAGCATGTGGATCAGTTGATACATAAGCTACATAATGAAAAAGATTTGAAGAGCTTCCACCAAAAGAATCCTACTTTCTCACTTGCTAATTTAACTCGAGTTCTTGAAAATAAAACTTCTTGATGATTACAAAATGCTTCTGCAGCAAGCACGTAGTAACAGCATTTTGAACCCTACTGCAAACAGATAAAAGCATTTATATGCAAGTCATCGATATGTAATGAATTATATAAGACAGCATAGACATCAGCAACGGTTTACAGGACACTGCATAAAATGTTGTATGGATCAAATGGGGAAGCATGGTAGACATGCTTTGTCATATATCCAATGTTTTAGTTCATTTACTATCCTAATAATAGCTCAGGCATAAGAAGAAGCCTGCAGGTGTAATGTGCCTGCTTTGGTGCAATCCATCAACTACATGCCTCAGCCACATGTGATGGAAGCGGGTTGAGACCTGGTCCACGATTAACTAACCTTTTTAAGGAGAAACAAACACTTTAGGCCGCCAAGATAAAACCTCTGAAGTTTGTGGATCAGCTCGTGTTTTCTGTACGTAATGCTCCAGATTGTGTGTCTGATCATTTAAGCTATCAGTAGATGATGTATCTTCAGCTAGTTTGACTGCTGCCATTTGAGATAGTTGAAAAGTCTCTCCAGCACGTTGCAGCTTTCTTGCAATGTCCTCTTCACCAAGCATCACAAGGGCAGTCAATAAAGATTTAAGCTCACGCTTTGCTCCATCTGTTAGAGACATGCCTTTCAAATGCTCCACCAGAGCTATCTCCTCTCCAGGGCTGCAATGTACAGAAATTAACTCTTCTATAAGATATGGACCGAGAGAAGCAAAGCAATCTTGGAATGTGAATAAAGAAGATACCTGCCAGGGCGGATTTTTCCTCTATTCCTCTGACGCCTGGCATCTCTTGCCTTACTAGCAATACTTGAGCTCACTGAAGCAGCAGAGCCCTTCCTTGTCCTGCTAATGAAACAACACAACAACTTAGGCTAACCAGATTAAGAACATTAATACATTTGTACTTGTCATACCATGTAGGGTTTCTACTCATTTTATTTTTGGGGTCAGTTCTGGGATAGGAAAATAAGTATGCCATACAAATGTCCCTTCAAAATTGATTTAAGAAGGGGGACAGAAAAAGAAAGCTAGCAATCGAGTTAAGCAAGACAGGAACAGTACTCCAGCAAGGAAAAAGAAAGATACAGAAGCAATGTAAAAATGCAAAAGCAACATTGGACTAGGATAAAAATATGAAAGATAAAACGGGTGGAGATGAAAATAGCCAAAAAACAGAGGGAAAAACTTAAGCAAATAATAACGCATTAAGTAACAAACTCATAACCAGAGCAGAAGAATCTTGAACACAGAAGGGCCAAATTTAAAATAATAGAAGGATATATAAAATATGGGGGATACAACTTATAATACAAGATTTTTTGGGATGTGGGGGCAGTATTGTATTTAAAAATTATAGACCATGTTTTAAGATTAATTTTTTAATTATCAAAAGCTTGGTGGGGGACCTAGCCCCAAAAGCTCCACATAGTTCCACCACTGCTCATAACAAGAATAATGATTGCCAACAATTCTACAAGTTCCATTTTTAATTATTGCAACTGTTTGTATTGAATTTTATATGACCTATAATCATGGCTAGCAAAACTACAATTACACAAAGTAAAGAGAAATACCCTGTGGTGTAGGCACTCATTCCACTGAAATTACTGCTCGCTTCTGAAGCAGTATCATCATCCAGATCATTCACTGACCGATCTTCTGCCTGAAGCTTTGCAGCAAGCAATAACCTTCTTTGTCTGACAGCTAAGTAGCGAGTCAGGTACTTTCCTACTTTCTCCAAGCCTTCTCCATATTCACCAATTAAAGTTTTTGCACTTTCTAAAGATGCATTCTTCACCTCTGAGATTAAACCTTCTTGCATGTACATAAAAGCAACTCTTAAAGCTTCCTCCCAGTCTCTTGCGCTAATTAACAAATTTACCCCACCATTAACATCTCCACAATACTCAAGAGCAATCTTGGCAGCATCCCCTGGTTTACCTAGCGCTTGGAGCTCTTCACAGAGCTCATGAGCAAGTTGCGTTATAGCATCCTTGTCCAGTTTAAGAAGCCCAGCAACTGTAAGCACCCCACTCCAATTACCAGAAGCACGATATGCCTTCAAGGCCTTTTCCAAATTTGAAGAACAAAGATAAGTTGTAGCAGCATCTTCAAAGCATTTTGTACCATTAAGATGATCACCCCAGGCCTCAAGGACCTGCAGTCTCTTGTCCGGATCAGTGATCAGCTGAAGTCCCATAGGAAAGAGCTGGGGATTTTTCTTTAAGAGATCCATGCAATCTAGATAATAATCCTCTCCTGCTGAAATTATGTGTTTGAGAGCATTCTCAAACCTGTGCAGCCTAAGGTCAATATTGTAGCGCATTATGAGACTTGGCATGAGTTCCAGTTCTTGTAGATAAGGAAGAAACTCCTTTGGATCTCGTTGAGAGTTTAGTGCCACTATAGCTGCAAGGTGCAAATCATATAGGCCCAGGGCAGCTTCAAATACAGCCTCAGAATCAGATAACCACAACAGATGCTTCAAGGCTTCTTCAGCAGAAGGATATGACATTCTCCTAGGGTCATTAGAACCTAATAATTCCAGTTCACGGATCTCCTTGATTCTCTCTAAAGCATCTTCAAGAGCAGGTGGATCACTACGAGCTAGAGTGGTCAAAATGCAGAGCTCTCTTGCAGGACTTTCAGGGACCTGTTCTACAAGAGCTTTTCTTATGGCCAGAAGGACAGAAGAAACCTTGTCATTGGCATCAAAACATTTGACATCTTGGGCTGGAATAATTTGAGCCCGTTTATGGCAAGGTGAAGAGATGTAAGTTTTGTACAGTTTCTCCATAATGTCTTCGTTCTTTATGGCAGAGACAAACTCAGTTATGTAGCTCAAATTGTTAACCTGTTTGACAAATTCTGAGGCTGACTGAAGAAAAGCTTGCCAACCACAATGGTCGACAATAATATTGAAATCTATTCTATGCCGCCTAACCATGAGTAGTGCATCTCTAAACCTCCCTTGGATCAAAGCGTTGACAATTGATGCCAAGACCAGTTTTCTGGGATAAATACATTCTAGATTTCCCCGAATTGTTTGAATTATGACAGCAGCTTCATCACCATGCAGAACGCCAATAATTTTGGCACCTCTTTCCCATATATGTATGAAGTTCATATTTTCTTCTTTTCTTCTGTTGCCAGTGTGAACAAAATTCTCATATTTTGACTCTATTTCTCCATGCAGTATATCACTGATATCAACAATGAAGAGAAAATCTTGTTTAGTTGCAAGAATCAAATGTGTGATCACTTGGTCAGCCAAATTTGAATAAAGTGAGAAACTGCTACAGTTGTTGCATAATATTTTTCCACCAAAATGAAGCCTACCAATATCATCGAGTCCTAAAAGCAAAGGTGTTAATGGTCCACTGTCAGAGACTAGAATTGCACTCATCCAAGGGCAAGATGATGAAAAACTTGGAATATCATGCCCTGTAGTTCCTCCACCAATAGCTAAGCCAAGTGTTGATGTATATTCATAGATTTTTCCACCATCAAACTGAACCAAAGCTGAGCATTTTTTAGCAGGATTGGGAGCAATCCCAATTACAATTCCTTCCAAATATTTATTACGGGAAACCTTGACATGCCAACCTGAACTCGTTACCAGACCTGGAACATGATCCTCTGAACACGCAATTTCAATTTCCTGCAGATGAAAGCCATGAAACCCATCTTCACCCAATGACCTCTGGGAGATGCAATTACTATGAGTGAAACCATTGTGAGAAACAGCCAGAAGTACATGTGAATCAAGCCATGTAAGATGTGCAAGTGTTCCAAAAACAGTTTCAGAAATACAAGCTTCAACACAAATTTCTTTGCCTTCTAGTTCTTCCCACGTATCAGATTCAGGAAGTTCTACAATGGATAAACCACCATCTGATAGAAATGCTGCCACAGAGTTCTTAGAATTTTTGAAATATAAAGCTATGTCCCTCACAGCGCTTGGAAATTGCAGGCTGAATAAATGCAGAGGAGGTGGCATTAGGGACAAAAAAAGTGGCGTTAAAAGTACCTTAGAATCATCAATAACCAATGCAATTGAGTTTTCCATGACAGCAGTAATCCACATGAAGTTGTAAACTGTAATCTGCCCCTCATGAGTCCAACAAATCAACTCCAGTGGCTTTATTGGATCCCACATGAACATAACTCCATTCTGCCTTGGGAATCTAATTTCATGTTTTAAGTACCAATGGTTGTTGCTGAAAAACCAAACCTTAATAGAGTCATATTTATCACATCTAACAACAGATGCAAGAAGATCTGAACTACAATTCCACTTGAGCAAATCTACTGTTGCATCCACTGGGGCATTGATGCTAAAAGAGCTTCTAAATAATCCATTTCTCTCAAAGAATACTATATCTGGACACTTATTCTCAGCTCTTCTGTCATATAAAGCTGCAATTTTTGCTCCACTCGGCATCCATTCCAAAACTGCTCCCATGAATGCCTCCGAATCTGAAGCAGCAAGCAATTCACCGGATTCTCGATCCCAAACCTTGAGCCTCTTATGCAAGGAAGAAGAGTTGCACAGGTCAGTCAGTGTTGCCAAGTATTTCCCATCACCTCGCCAGGATATAGAACTCTTTGACATATTAGGGGAAGAAAAAGTAGGTTCACCTGAAAGTGAAACCACAACTCAATCAATGAATCTCCAATTGCATCTCATGCAAAAGATAACCCCTCACTCTTTAGGTGATAACATAAGCAATTGAATGAGAGAGCATCAAAACGAAACAAGCAATATCTATAATTTGTTGCATATTTCTCTGATGATAGCAAAAGGGTATAACTTTGATGGGCCCAACATTAAGGCTATATCTATGAATAGCATTACATGTAAAGCATAAAGAAGAAAAGAAAAGAAAACTTTCTTTTGCTCATCCTAAGAGCTGCAAGCCACAGGGAACAGTATTCCACAAAGCATATATTTAACTCAGTTTGTACATGGAACTTGAAACAAGTAGATTTAAATTTGAGCTTTTCACTCAGCCTGTATAAATATAGCTTCGGACTTGTAAAAGTGTATGCACGAAAAACATTCATTAAAATAAATCTCCAAAGTGCATTAGAAACCTTTTGTTAATTAGTTAATTCAGGTCATCCTGAAAGAAGGTTTCATCAAATGAATAAATCTGAATAAGTACTTCGAATTTCATTCAAGTAAATCAAATCGAAATAAAATAAAAAAAATAAAATCCAAATCCTCCTAGAGAAAACCAAAATTTAATAATGGAGAGGTCCTTACGTACGTCAACCCCATCAAGATGATCCTCAGTAGCATTTTCATACAATAAATCCCAATCATGAGTCATCACCAGTAACTGCCCGAGCCCGGTAACAATCCCAAGCAGGTCACCATCTGGACTAGGAGCAATACACTTGACACCACCTTCAACTTGACCGACAACTTCCACAGCATTATCCTCCACATTATAAAGCAACAGAGCCCCATTACTGGTACCCACTATAAGTGCCTCCTTCTCCAGAAGATAATCAAACGAAGTAATGAAGTCCCCGTCCTCCAAACCAATTGGATGAACCTCCGCACGTAGTGAGGTCTTTCTCCATGCATTTTCATTCTAGGACACCCATCAAGAAATACAAATTGCATAGCATTAATAAACATAAACCCATATAAAATTCCAAAAAAAAAAAAAAAAAAAAAAAAAAAAAAATCCACATTATAAAGCAACATGAAGCCCCATTACTGGTACCCCACTATAAAGTGCCTCCTTCTCCAGAAGATAAATCAAACGAAGTAATGAAGTCCCCGCTCCAAACCAATTGGATGAACCTCCCGCAACGTAGTGAGGTCCTTTCTCCATGCATTTTCCATTTAGGACACCAATCAAGAAAATACAAAATTGCATTTTAGCATTAGATAAACATAAACCCATAATAAAATTCCAAAAAAAAAAAAAAAAAAAAAAAAAAAAAAACAACAACAAATTCCAAAAAAAAAAAAAAAAAAAAAAAAAAAAAAACAACAACAAATTCCAGTAGACACTCCAGCTTTAATTACAATAACACGAATAAAACCCACAAAAGAGAGAGATTAAGGAAGAAGAGAAGCATACATGAAAATAAGATAGCTGAGTCGTGTATATGAAATTAGCGGAAGAAGCGAAAAATAAGCGATTACGCTCGATATCGATAGCGGAAAAAAGCAGAGTCTCTTGTTTTGATTGTAACTCCAGATTCAGAGTCAATTCCGAATATAGTTTCAGGTTTTTCATCTTCTGAACTGTTAAAATCTAAACAAAAAAAATTATAAAAGGAAGGAGTTTTAAGTGATAGGTTTTTTGGAGGGTTTTTGGGAGGTTTAAGATGATTCAGGGAAGGGGACGAAGGAAGCAGAAAATGTTGAAGCTGTTAAAGGTGGTTAACCTAGTGAGTAGTGTGATAGGCGCACGTTAGAGCGAAGCATTGATTTGTGTTAAGGGCAAATTATTATCAAGTCCTTGTAATTTGTCTTAAATTACTATTTCATCTTTATTATTTTAAGAAGTTACTAAACACTCTGAGATTCGATTCATTAAACTACTTGTTTCCTCCGTCTAAAAAGTATTAATTTTACTGTTAAAACAAATTATGTGAATATTTAGTCCTTTACCTAATAATAAAAATTTTATTTAATCTTTATCTATTAGTAAAAAAGGAATTCTTTTTCATAAAAAGTAAGTATTTTAATTGGATCAAATTAGACACTTTACAGTAATTGTAAACGATAAAGATAAAATAAAAATTTCAATCAAATTTCAAAAACTTTATAATAATTTATCCATAATATATATATATATACACACGAGAAATCTACCATATTACTTTAATCTTATAATAACATCTTAATTTTTATTTTCATTAATTGAATATTTTAATTTTTATTAAATACTTAAAATTATAAAATATTTTAGTGAATATTTTAATTTACAAAATTAGATCAATCAAAAACATATTAAATAGTCAAAAATATAAAAATTATTAGAGGCATAATATGTCTTCCTAAAATTAAAAATGCTGCTACGATATTAAAATAATAAAGTTTAAAAAGTAAATCATGTATTTATATCCTTGTACTAAAACAGTTTATTTGATTGGCAGCAATGGATAGTATCGTCCACAGGCAGAAAAGAATATCCAATTTAATGGAGTTAGAGAAAGCACCTAGTGCAAACAAAAAAATTGGTGCAAAATAATAAAAAAAATAGTTCTAGAAATTAAATAATTTTCTCACTATTTACTAGTCTGCTAAAATTATCAAATGGTAGCCATAAATTTTTTTAACTTGATTAGTTATATAGTCAAGTACTTCTCTACATGAATTATAACTAATTGACTTTCACCACCAACAGGTCCGACACTATTTAAAAGACTTACAATTGATACTCTCAAATTTCTACTCATAAGAATTCCAGTTAAATATTTAAATTTTAAGTATATTATATTTTTTATATTATTTATTGATTCAACTTAAATTCAAACACAGTAAGTTTATTATTATATATTAATTTAACATTAATAAATTTACTATTAAGTGTTCAATAATAATAGAGCCAAGCCAAGCTAAACCGAACCTAGAACCAAACTCAACTAGAGTACTGAGTAAAATATAGATTTAATTAAACTCAGAGTCAAGTATTCAATCTCAAATTTCACTAGCCCTACCAAATGATTTCAAAACAATACTGCAATGGATTGGCAGAGAGTTGTTAAGAAACACAGCAGTCTCTTGTTTCTTAAGCCATGCAAGTCCTTTACAGAGCCACAAAAACAGTTTGAGATTGAAATCCTACCACTGGGATGGCTCTCGCATTAGAACTTTCTAGTTTTCAAATCAACCCATAAAATCAGACCATTTCTTCCATGCAATCTCTTCTTTTAAAAAAGAATAAGTTAACTAGTATTCATTTCAACTATATCAATTAGTGTTCAGTACAAAATTTCATTAATTACAATTAAGCAAAAAAAAAAAAAAAAAAAAAAAAAAAAAAAACAGTTTTGAGAATATATATTGAAAGCTCACTACTACTGGGATGGCTCTTTCGCATTAGAAACTCCTTTCTGAAGTTTTTCGAAAATCAAACCCAATAAAATTCAGAACCCATATTCCTTCGCATTCAGATTCTCATCTTTTTAAAAGAATAAGTTAAACTAGTAATTCATTTCAACTATATCAATTAGTGGTTCAGTTACAGAAATTTCATAATTACAATTTAAGCATATAAAAAAATAATATAAAAAAAAAGAAAAACACGAATAGGAGGCAACTATGGTAAGATCTACAGATTAAAACAATCAACATTAAAACACACCAAACTAAACAATGAAATCAATGATGGACATGCTGGACAAACATTCTCTTAACCTAACAAGAAGAAGTTAGACACCCTCACATTTTCTTCCTGGGTTCCTAATCCTACTGCCTCTCAAGTTAAATGCCGCCTTAATTTCACATCTCATGAACATCTTTTGGTTAAAAAGTGATGGCTGATATCAATCTACACCCACCGAGAGTGGATTTAAACAAATTAAAGGCAATGCACTACTCCTGTACTGATTGAGGCTACGCTCCTCTGACCAATGAGAAAAAAAAAAAAAAAAGAAAAAAAAGAAAGGAGGCAACTATGGTAAGAACTAAGATTAAAACAATCACATAAAACACCAAACAACAATAATCAATGATGAAGCTGGAAACATTCTTCACCTAACAGAAAGTTAAAACCCTCATTTCTTCCTGTTCCTATCCTTTGCTCTCAAGTAGCGCCTAATTTCACATCTCATGAACATCTTGTGTTAAAAAGTGTGCTGAATATCAATCTCACCCAATGATTAACAAATCTAAAGCAATGCATCACCTGTACAGATTGAGGCCTACGCCTCTGACCAATGAGCAAAACTGATCTCCAGTAAGTTTTTAGGTGAAAGCTGATTCTACCAACTTGAGTATGACTCTTATTCAAAAAAATTTAACCTAGTCCAATTCCTTTTCCTCTTGCAGCTTCTAGGACAGAGCTTGCATCTCCTCTAGTCTTAGATATGTTATAATAGCGATTCCAGAGTTTAATGGAGAATGGATACACTGATAAAGCTCTCTTGTAAAACCTCTCAGAGATTAAGTCAATACCTGCAATGCCGTCCAAAATACCTGCAGCATCAATCCATATGTACTCTGGTGCTATTGGAACCGCATGAAAAATTGCGTTGACCAAGGCTGAGCTTGCCCAGTACAACATACTGCCAGGAGCCATTTCAGTAAATTGCTCGCCTCTGCTCAAAAGCTTACAAGCAGAAATGGCTAATTGGTAGTTTGATGGCACTATCTCCAAGATGGCTTCGACAAAATCAACCAGTTCCTTTGGCTGGCTAAATGTTTGGGGTATAAGTGATGGTCCATGCCACATTTCAAGAACTAAGTTCACTAGAGAAAAATCATATGACACCGGACTCAATATATTACTAATTAGTTGCCGAACTCTTGGCTTTTCAATTTTGTTCATGAATAGTCTAGATAACGGCTCAGAGGGTGGGAGAGCCCGGGCATCATCCAAATAACCATTTAAAACATTCAGATGACAGCTTATGGAAGCATCCCCCTTTAACTGTGACTCGTATGTAAACAAGAACATGGCATGTTCTCTCAAGCAATGCTTGAAGAATGGTGCAGATGCAGCCTTGAAGGCTTTGTCCATGGCATTGCGAGCCTCGAAGTGATCACTATGCAGTAATTTAAAGAGAGAGAGATTTAGGTATCCAAATGTCATATCCACATTGTTAGAATTGGAAGTCAAGAAATCTGGATTTGATGCCGAGGTCAAATCCAATGACTCATCTGTGCTATTAGTACCTTTAGCATCCAATTTTCCTTTTTGAGGATGTTGAACTTCTGAAAAGGAGTCAAACCAGCGGACAATGAGTTCTTTTGCAAAATCAGGGTGTCCCTTTTGGAAGGCACATTCAATATATTGATTCCAGATACAATGAATTCCAGGAGTTTCCTTAGGCCAGTTCCTAAGGGCTTCCTCAAATCCCTCAAAACTTGTGTCCTCAAAATAAGTCATTTGAATCCTCGCAGATATGAGAGTAAATTCTAAGCAGGATGGGAACATCTTCATATAATCATCCAACAAACTACTACAGCACTCTAAGCCTTCGAGCACCACCATACATCTAATGTGGCAGACACCAAAATGTTGTGCTGATCGGAGATTGGTTTCATTTCCAAGTGATTCACTATTGGCATACACTTTAACAGAGTCCACAGCCATTTCTACCAATTTCATAGCCCTTTGCTTCTCCATCTCCACTAAATGAACATAAGGCCATTCAATTGCAAGGAGTTCTTTGTCACATTCAAACTTCTGAACAATAGCCTCTGGCAACTTCCTGTAAATTACTAAGTACACACAACAAACCCAGAACATAAATTTGTCAGAAATTGTTAAGCATGCAAGGATATCAGAGAGCAACGAGGAATGAGGCTCATCTGAATTAGTCGCCACAGGAAAGAGCGCACAGATTCTCTCAATGCCCTTCTCAACATTCCCAGACATGCACAAACAATCCATCATCTGCAAAAACAAGTCTAAGATGCATGCACTAGCATACATTTCATCCTTTACATAGGTAGACGAGTGACGGCAGAGTGCCGTAAGGGCAGCATCATATGCATCTAGCCGATCATCAAGGTGTAGACGACTGTTAATGTACATGAGCCAAAGTCCATAAGATCTGTCATTGTGTTTGACCTGAAGAAAGAGAGAGAGAGAGAGAGGGTTTCCATACCAAAAAATTCCATTTTCAATTCCATTCAAGGAAAAGAATTGGATGCAGAAGATAAATGCGCCATTTTGCTAAAACAAAAACAATGATCACAATATGATTCAAGCATGCCCCTTACACACAAAGACCTTCAGCAACTGTATGTTATCAGCTTTTATAACAAAAAACCAAAAGGCGGACAACCCATAAAAACACATTTTTACTATCTACATAATAAAAGGAGCATATTAATGATTTTCTTTCTCAATTTCAAAGAAGCCATCTACATAAACCTCTAAGTTACAATTGAATAATGCTAAAATCTAAAAACAGACTCGTAGATGCACTGAGCTTATACTTATCTAGTACAAGATATTACTGATGTAAGTGCATCTGAACTTAGAAGGCTAAGGCTATACAATTAAAACATGCTATCCCCCATAACTGTACCTAGACAATTGTTTCCTGCCTCTATTTAAATTACTATTGTAAATTGAACATAGAAATACCATCTTTTTTTCCATGGATTGATTATAATAAAAAATCAAAAGGAGCTGCAATCAGTCTCAGAACAACATTTTATGGAAAATCAGTAAGTATACTCCCTTGCTCTCAATAACATACCGCATATGAGAACATATCCTCCTTTGCCATTGATCTCACGTTGCCATAGTAAATGAGCAAGTAAGATATCCAAAGAATTTCAGATTTTGGATCAGCTTCAATAGCGCGTGAAAGTGCAGATAAAGCCTGGAAAAATAAATATTTGGGATGATAATAAAAGACCAATAATGATGTGAAGATTAATAGGAAAGCTACAATACTCACCTTGTTCATACCCTCCGGTTTATTGACCTCCTGACTCAGAATAAGGATGGCCATTTCCAATGATTGTACATTAGTAGGTAGCACTTGATTCAAATGATTCTAATATACATTAAGCAAAAAGAAAAGCTTAAATGAGATTACAAATCACAATAAATAACATAACAAGGCAATTATGCATCAATAACATGAAGTGAAAAAACCTCTTCTATCAAAGAGGCATAATCTATGTTTAGGTATATACAATATGTCAAAGACATAGCAATAACGAGAAATAAATCATTACGTCAACAAGAATTTTGTTTTTTCAAAAAAAAAAATATTATCAATAGGGACATCAAAAGATAGGCGCCACCCATATATACCAGAAGAATACACTTCAAGAAATTGCATCAAAAGATGGATTTCTGATAATCAAGAAATGGAATACATAAATTGTGTAAAGGCAACTTCAAGTGTCCACAATGCCTCTATTCTCTGTGTGTTATAAATAAAATAGCCATAAGAGAATTGCATCCCAGATATTCTCATTTCTAGCCCTACAATGAGAACTCGAGCGTTAAGCTCATCCCAACCTTCACTCAATTGATCTTGAGAATCACTTGCGAAAACAGCATCTATCATTTTTCATCTAATTGTCTATCCTTGAAATTATCTTCCCAGTGGCTTCGATCAGAAAATATAATATTTTAAGGTAATAAGCTTCTCGAAATATCTTTCCAAGGAGAAGAGTTCTTACCAGGCCTTTCCTCTCCCTCCAATGGTTTTCCACAAAAACATGTACCAGGCCACAGGGATAGATATTATACTAACACTTGCCACAACACCTTTTACAAATCTCTTCGAAAAGAAAATCCAAACATTAAATGATGAACATGCTTGGCTTGAATCCCAAATCCTATACTATGCATGGTTGCATAGGGAAAAGAAGAGGGGAGGGAATGAGGAAGAAGGGAAAAAATCTACACACTATTATGTTAAAGACTTAAAGAGGAAGAAGAGGGAAGTAATTTTACATTGGAGGGGTAGAAGGGGAGCATAACAATACATCTAGAAACAAAGTTTAGTGCCCCACTGAAAAAATTTGCATAGCTAGTGAATGCCTTTATTTCACTTGTTTTTTTCTTTGTTAAAAAAATAGTACCAGTACAGTGTTATTATACAAAACAATGAGGGATGGAACTATCTACACAAAAAAAAGAGCTTGAAGAACTACTTAGTTTTGGGGCTGATGGAAAGAGCAGTACAAGACAGCTTGCAGGTCTGAAATTCTAGTTGGGTTTGTGGATTGATTTAAAAGACTGAAAGACCAGAAACTTGAGCAAATAAGCAGAATGTCTAACCAAGACAAACTAACTAGGAAGCAAAATAACACAAGGAAAATAAGTGTCGTTTGCAATACAGTTCAGGTCTCACATCTAAACTTACTTGGGTATCATGGCTAGGGTTGAACTGCATCACACAAGTCAAATAACTGCTAGAGTTTTACTCAATCACAAAATGAATAATAAAGCATTACAAGCACAAGCATCTATAGGCAAAATTAATCATAAACCTTAAGAAACATTGAATCTTAGAACCAGACTTGAACTCCCGCAGCATACTAAAAGGATAAATGTTTTCCTAGACCAATAAGGAGTCAACACAAAACAAATATAAAACTTAAAAACAATTCATTAAGAGCCGACCCGTTCCACCAAAAATAGAAATTACAAATATAAATCTCAACCTCTAAGTTGTAAACTATTGGACCAGCACATAATTCACTGAAATGAGCATGCTTCTATAGCTCTACAGAGACTAAAAACAGTCAACATTGTCCCAAAATGAGCCTCGCATAAAAACCATACCACAATTCTAAGATTCTTTAAACTTGATTTTTCTTAAGTTTACCTGGACTCTGAAAATAAGATGAACAGTAAACAGACCTTCAAACTATAACACACTTCATTTGCATGTTATAATACACTCTTAGAAGCAAGGAATAACAGATATAAGAGAGCATCAAATAATTAGAAAAAAGTTTTTAACTCAATCCCAAAACACACAGAGGAAGAACATCATTTTTCATAATTCAAAATTAAAGAATGAAGCATTAAAAAAGAATGACATTCCCCATCCTAGGCACATAATTAAATTGACGCTTGAGACCAGGCGTTGCTCCTAAGAACTACAGTATCTGATAAAAATACTACTAAAAGCATTAACAACAAAGCTGACAATGAAATAACCAATAATAATGACAAAAAGCAATAAACAAACCGTGATTATATTTCTACTCTGAAAGTATGATGACTGTTTGTCCCAACTCCCATTGACCTCAATACGTCCATCATTGCCATGCAACAAAGGTTCATCAGCAGGCAAATCTTTTAGAATAAAATTGGATAAAGCTACACAGATGCTGAAGGATTTCTGCCAGCACTGTCCATTTCTCCGTGCAACAATGGACTCATATGAATGTGGATCAGCTTTCAAAATTTCTAAGCCAACCTGATAAGTTGGCAGAGTCAAAACATTGGGACAGTTGAGAAGTGCTGTTGCACCATTATATTTTCTCCCATGCAATCTTAATTTGACCTGACAGTCTGCACAAGCTTTTGAGCGTAAGCAATGGAAAAAACCATTCAGCACTTGGAAAAATAAGTAAAACTAATATTTCATACCAGCACAATCAGAATCATTGTGCTCATGTTGGCCAATGTTCTCACTGGAGAAGTCCCTAACATGCTGCCAAGGGCATTGATCATTGTTGCATTTCCCTCGGAGCTCATACATGCAGAGTGGCCAAAAAGGATCAACAGCAAGATCACAGGTAAAAGAGCCATTTTCATTCTCACACACCTCCCTGACACTCTCCTCCACTGAGTTTGATGTGAGAATGCTCTGCTGGACGTCTCCAGAATTGATGCAACCAGCAGCTTCATTGTAATAACCACATGTATCACCTTGTCGATTCTTTCTAATTTCTAATTGTGCTGAAGTGAATGGAGACATGACTTTCATATGTCCAAATGCACTTCTCAAAACTGAAGTGGGTGAAGATATGACAGCTGTTGATTGATGAGCTCCGATGGAATATTCATTATCTTTCTCTTTGTGGGTCTTAGGAGCCCTGTCGATATTTCTCCTAGGTAGACCATTGCCTAAATTAAAGAACAAAAATACCTTTAAGGATTAAAAAAATGGAATAAATTAAAATAAAAGTTTACAATAACAGATCTTTGAACTACTCAAATCAATGCTCCATTCAACTACATTACATGTCTTGAACCTTTCTCTCCTTGTCCACATTGCATACCTACATTTAAAAAAGTCTTCACAAACATTTTTTGGCATTATGTGCAAGTTTAGAACCAGCCTGCAAAATTATTTTTGAACTATACAAATCAAGTCCATAATATTATGTCTCAGTCCCTCCTTGTCAAAATTGCGTATCCCCCCCCCCCCCCAAAAAAAAAAAAAAAACTGCGCTACTGGTAGTTTGAAATGTGAGAAAATGCTCTTGGGCTGGTGAGTGCTGCCAAGAATTGGATGCAAACAGCAAAAGACTTCATGGTAATAACCCACATGTATCTACCTCTTAGTCGATTCTTTCTCTAATTCCCCTTCTAATTGTGCGGGAAAGTGGGAATGTAGACATTGACTTCATATTTCCAAATGCGAGCTTTCTCAAACTGATGGTGGAAAGATATGACAGCTGATGATCTGAATGAGCTCCGATGGTAATTCTTCTATTATCTTTCTCTCTTTGTGGTTTCTTCAGGAGTCCTTCCGATATTTCTCGTAGGTAGAGACATTGCCTTAAATTAAAGCACACAAAACACTACCTTTAAGGATTAAAAAATGGAATAAATTAATTAAACAGTCTTACAAACTATGTACCTCTCCTGTGAACTACTCATAGTCACATGCGTACCATTCAAACTATCATTAACATGTCCTTTTAGTGGGGGTAAACTTTAATCTCTCTCTTGTCCACATGACAATACCACTACATTTAAAAAAGGATCTTACATATCAACATCTTTTTTTTTGGCATTATGTGCATACGTTTATTAGAACCAGCTGCAAAAATTATTTTTTGGAACTATACAAAATCAAGTCCATTATAAATTATCGTCCGAGTCCCTCCTGTCAAAACTGTGCGTTAGTCCCAATCCCCTCTCCCCCAAAAAAAAAAATAAAATTTCATTAGAAGCCTCAGACTCGAATTTTTTGTTCGATGGTAACGTTGCAACTTTGGTTTTTAACTTTTAAGAGTTACCTTTCCCTCCCCAATGCAGAAGCGCAACTTTTTTGCAAAACAAATTAATAGAGTATGTGATGCTGTTGCACTCATATGTTTGTCTGCCAAAAATTTTACTCAGAAAATATAATTCAAGCCATACTATTGTTAACAGACAAGTTATATGTTGGCAAGAGAGAATATGCTGATCAATATATTCTGAAAAAAAAAAAAAAAAAAATTCATAGCAGTAGACTTTTTTTTTCATTTTCACGTTGCCCTTTGTTTTAACTTTTCAAGAGTTACCTCCTCCCAATTCATAAGCGCAATTTTGCAAAACAAATTAATAGAGTATGTGATGCTGTGCACTCATTGTTGTCCCCAAAAATTTATAGAAAATAATCAGCCATACATTGTAAGACAGTATATTGGAAAGAACAGAATATGCTGATGCATAATTCTGGACAACATCCAAGTTTGATTGTAAAATTTCCACCACAATCAAATTTTATTTCAATATGACAAGGAAAAGGAAAAATACATGCCAAATAGCTTGATAAGTGAGTAATTCACTGCCTTCCTGAATACTAAATTAGCAAAAAGCATTTAATTTTTACAATCCAGTCATTGAGATAAGTATAGGATGAGATATTACACTGGGTCAAGAACAAAATATAACAATTTTTTGTGTTTAAAGCTACCTACAAGTAAGAATGAACATGTGCAAAAAGAAAAGGCGCTACATACAAAGACAATAATACCGACAAATCCAGGATGGCACATGCTTGCAGAATTATTAATTCATAATACACAAACAATTAATCAGAAAACATTCAACATGACACCAAATACTACATATTTTCTATGAACAAAAAAGACTGCCTCAATCCATATTATCTATAAAAGATAATTACCTTTGAGATCAAATTCTTGATTCTTTTCTGCCTCTGATAATGGAGCACTGCCATTGCTTGTCTGAGTTCTTTCACTTCCATTATCATTTTCAGTCCCCAGATCATTTGCAGGCTCTGAGTTGGTTAAACCACTATTCTTTGAAAGAATTCTGCTTCCTAACCGTGCAAATAGTGCAGACCTTAATGTTGCCTCAAGAATCAAAGAATCCTGGGATCCATCATTGGAGAAATTTGAGTTTGAATGATTATGAATGTCATTTTGCCTTGCCAAGGAATTCGGCTCTGTTTGCTTATTTTTGAAATTGGGTTGCACAGTTTCATGGCCTAATGGAGATGTCTCCTCATCTTCATCTACTGATATATTATGATCATTTGATGGAGAGCTCACTAAATTTCCTAGATTTTTGCTGTTAATATGCAATGGCTCTGACGTACTTGCATCTGGTTCACTGCATGGTTCAGACCCCAAATTTTGCCCATTGACATGCCTATATGACATATTCAAAGGAGCACCATTCGCACATTGGACGTTTGAATCATACACTGGTTGGTTATGGCCATCATATTCGGCCCTCCTAGAATGATTTGATGGCAGCATTAGTTCTAGATTTTTAGATTTGTTGTCTGCATGGTTCAACCCAACTACAGCATGTTCCTGCTTCCTTGCAGACCATAACAAACTCGAATCACTTAAAAGAAATGATCGAAATTGGGCAGAGTACAGTTCCCTTTTGTGATAAAGTTCAGTGCATCTAGCATTAGCCTCCACCAAAGCCCTTTGGGCTTTTCGATAAGCTTTAAGAGCATTTCTTTCTTCTATTTCACATATGCGCCTCTGCTCTTGTGCTTCCTCCAACTCCTTGTCCAATGATTCCTCCACTTCAACTAATGAATGCATATCTATGGTGCTATGCTCAGATAGAATTGGAGCACCCAAATAATTCCGATGGTTCACGTCATTCAAAGATGTCTACACCCAAGAGTAAATTACAATAAAGATCAGAACAAAGGACCGGGAGAAGAAATAATGCTGAAAATCCCACAACATGCATAAGCATAATGTCACCATTTTGATATCCAGAGCAAGGATGCACCTGAAAAATGTTGTTTGATGATGGCTCAACTGTACTGTCAATATTTGTGCCTTCACGATAGTCGCAACCATTTATTAAATGCTTTTCACCAGTTCTAGTCTGTAAGGAAGAACCTGGTAGCTGTTGGCCACAGATCTTAACTGGATGATTCAACTCAGTAATATTCTGTAAAGTTTTATATAATATTAATGGGGTAAAAAAACAACAAGTATGGATGAAGTGTGAAATGTGAAACAGCTATAAAACTAACATTTAGTTAAACATAAGATGATTTGTAAATAGAATGAGGTGTGTATACATGTATGTATTATATTGCAGATAATGAAGCTCGAAAATTAATCAAGGCAATATTTATACCAAATATGAATAAGTTCAACGATCAGGTGCACTCAAATAAGCAAGGCAGTTGTATCTTTCTCAATACAAGAGAGTATTTTGAATAATAAGAAGTTAAATATATTCTGGAAGAATATACCACTTTAAGCAAGCAACAACATTCCTGAACTCAACACAACCAAATTCTAAACCATCCAACTGGGGTTCGCTCCATGAGTCATTTTCATCCGTTCCACTCAGTTTAAGGCTACATCTCTAGAAAGGTCTAAAGCCACTAAACCACTTTTCACTTCAGCCCCACATTATCCTAGGTCTATCCCTCATTTTCGCTAAACGATATGCTAAATGAAATGACATCAATTTTGAAATCTAGTTATTTCATGTAGCGGGTTATATAAGGAGTACTGAAAAGGTAGAAATCAGAGAAAGTAGAGTCTAATATGTGAAGTTTAAACAGTAACAAACAGGTCACCATAGAAAGCAATGAATTGTAATGAAAAGCGTCGAGTATGTTATATGCTCCAAGTTTCTTACTGTATTCTTTGGCAACACACTTGAGTCTATGTTTATTACAGGCGCAGTTTGGTTCAACAAGACATGGGGATCCACCTGCTTACTGCTCATGTCAGTCTGAGTACAATAACTGCTGCTGTTAGCTCCTGCAAAAGCATCAAAATTCTATTTGTTATGAAAAAACATAAAATTGTGGTATAAGACGGAATTTTTGAATAACAAACACTCACCATTTTTCAGTCCACTAGGTAGTTTCTCCAATGAAATATCTGCCCGTTTATCATATTGCTTTTGCCATTTAACAACACCGGACTCTGCTCTTCTTGTGGGACTTCCTTCTTGGCTATGATCGACCATACTCCTGTCCTGTGAAGTACTGCTCTCTAATGCTTGCTCTTTGAAAGGTCTAGTGGATTTCACAGCAAATATTTCTTGTCTCCTGTCTGATCTTAACTGGGTTCCACTTGTTTTAAAGCGTTTCCTGACTGGCTCTTCTGCTTCTAATTGTCTAACATCAGAGGTTGCATTAGATTTCCTCACTGCATCAGCACCTAGGCTCATGACCGCATAATCCCTGCCCGAAACTGAAGCAGATTCCTTATTTTGATGGGCAGCCTTCAGCTTCAGTTCTCTTTCTCGAAGTGCAATTTGCTGCCTCAAGTCCTGAAGTTTAGTGTTATTCAAACCCACACCTTGATCAAAACCATGCTCCTGGCTTGCAAAGTTTCTGTTTGTAGAATTAAAATTTCTAACTCGAGATCCTTGATCAATTGTTGAGGGCCCAGTACTTCCGGAATGAGCTCCACCATTAATCTTTTTTGTTGATGAGATAAATGTGCGACTAAGAGACGATTTCTTGGGCATTACTCTGTTTACATTTCTAGCAGCCTGCTGTAATTTACTTGATTTTGCTGATACAAGAGAAGGTACTCTTCGATTACCATTCACTCCAGCTGTATCCTGTTTGATTTTCAAATTCTTTGCTGCTCTGTAATCATCTGATTCACTTCCACTGTCATCATCTGAGAAGCTAATTACTAGGTTAGTATTGCCTCTAGGGGGCACAAGCCATCCAGGATTAGCAGATTTAACTGGCACTTGATTCTTCTCAAAACTCTTATCATTATTTGGTTGCACAGATGTTTGAGACTGAATATCAACAGAATTAGCAGGATTTATTCCCAAAGTAGACTTCCCTGTAGATCATATTAATCCACTTAGAAAATTTTTTCTTATAGCAGAATATCCAATTACTTTCCACAAAGCCAAACATATCACACATCACCTAAATCGACTTATATCAAAATATGCAAATATGGGCATAAACTTTCTTTCTCAACATGCAACAGAAGTTGGCAAAGTGAAGTCATCAGGAACGAGATGCAAGTCAGATAAAAAACTAATAGAAAAGATAAGACATATTATGGTGGTCTCATCAAATAATTATTATAAAGCCTAAGCACTTGGTCATGAAATGAAATTAGAGAAGCCTTGTGATGGACTTTGTACCAGACCAAACTATCAGATCACGTGTAATCACAGACTAAGGTGGATCGGTTAAACATTGACAATTCAAATAATCGAAAAATAAAAAAATAATAAATATTAGATCACATGTAACCAAGGACTAAGGTGGATCCATTAAACATTCACAATTCAAATAGTCTGTGACATCCCGACCCGGCAAAGCGATCCTAGGATGGCAGGCTAGCTAGGGTAGTGGAATGCGGGACACAAGAATAAATCGAATCATATATCGAAAAAATAGTCTTGACATCCGACCCGGCAAAAGCGATCCTAGGATGGCAGAAAGCTAGCTACGGGGAAGTGGAAATCGCCGGACACAAGAATAAAATCGAATGCCATATAATTCGAAAAGGGGAAAAACTAATCATTAGAAGGCGCCTTTTTTGGTGGAAATGGCTGGAGAGTTTGGAAGAACTCCAGGGTTAAGCGGTGCCTTGCTTAAACAGAAAATCTTGCTTAACAGAAATCATCAAAGAGGGTGACCCTCCTGGGTAAGTTTCATTTCACCTGGCAGGACAAAACCGTTGAGGGCGGCGTGTTGTGGTTGGCCGGATTGGGCCTGGGCACAACCCCGAGTGGCCAAAGCGACAATTCCTCTAATGATTAGAGTTGGGACGTGACATTTGGTATCAGAGCCTGGACCCCTCCAAGTAAGATTGTATGTTCGAGGACGAACCATGCGGAAAGCTGGTAGGCCTGTGACATCCCGACCACGGCAAATGCGATCCTAGGATGGTAGGCTAGCTAGGGAATAGTGGAATGCGGGACACAAGAATAATTGAATCATATGATCGAAAAAGGGGGAAACTAATCATTAAGAGATCGCCTTTTGGTGATGGCTGGAGAGTATTTGGAAGAGAACTAACTAGGGTTAAGCGTGCTTGCTTAACAGAAAATCCTTGCTTAACAGCAAATATCTCAAGAGGGTGACCTCCTGGGAAGTTTTTCATTTTCACCTGCGGAAGACAAAACCATGAGGACGAGGTGGTATGTTTGTTGGCCGGATTAGGCCGGGCCACAAACACCCAAGGCCAAATCTCAAGAGGGTGACCTCCTGGGAAGTTTTTCATTTCACCTGCGGGACAAAACCATGAGGACGGGTGTATGTGTTGGCCGGATTAGGCCGGGGCACAACCCCGTGGCCAAAGCGGACAATTCCTCTGGTGATTAGAGTCGGACGTGACATAGTCTCTCTCATTTAATTAAAGTTCCAATACAACCATTAATAGATAGGAAAAGCACACTATAAACTTTTTAATTCAAGAAAAAGTAATCCAAAAAATAGTGAAGTAGAGAGGCCAAACATTGTATCAAGTAGTGGCACATATATAGCTTAATTAGTAACCACCCTTTTCTTCTAAAGAAGTAGACAAAACTTTTCAGTCTCCCTCCCCACTTATTTATCTGTAATCTCTGAGTATGAATAGACATGACCACAGTTTAAAATCACCAGTTCCGCTTATAAGAAAGTGGAACCGGAACCGAACCATTTTCAGGCGGTTTCTAAGACGGTTTTGGAATTGCCGATATCAGTTTTGTTCTGGTTTGAAAATGAAATTAGATAACACTTTCTAATTTTTTTCAAAAGTTTTTTGGCTTGACCAAATAATAATAATAATAATAATAATAATAATAATAGTAATGGTAATAGTAATATTTTATTGAAAAATACTAAATCAATTTAATACAAAGTCTCAATTTATTCTAAAAAATTATAATAAAACAGAAAAGGAAAAAAGGATTTTCTTTGAAAACATCTTTTTCATGGTTTCATAACAGAACTGCCGGTTTTAAACCAAAGCTGTAGGTTTCGGTTTCAAAAATGAAGAACCAGAACTAAACCACACAATTTCAGTTATGGTTTGAAACTGAAACAGCTGACCACGATTTGGTGCCAATTTTGACCGATTCATTTTCAGTTTGGTTCTGGTTTGAAACCGAGTGGTCATGCCTAAGGATGAAGTGTTAGAGAGAAGATCAAAGAGAGTGAAGCAAGACTATATTGTCTCTAGAAAGCATGTGAACATATGCTTACATGTAAAGCAGGTAGCCTTTATGTATTTGAGAACTAATTGTTAATTAGTTGCCCACCAATGAGCAAATCGATATGATCTTATTATGCTTATGATGCCACCATGCACAACCAAATCTTTCTCACAATTTGCTTAACATACAATATTAGTATAATCTCAAAGCAGTCTAAAACATTTGGTGACACTTCATCTCAGGGCTTAAAGCAGGAGAGTAGAAAGAGCAAGTCATTATGAAAGATCCACAAGCTAAGGTATCAAAACAAATGGAATCCAGGCACAAAGAATAAAAATCCATTCCACATAATTAAGAATAAGGAAGAATCCCACATCAGACGACGAGCAAGACTTACTAGCCTGAATGCCTTCAGAGAATTTGTTAAATGGAGGTATAGGAATGGGCCCAGGAAGTACAGGCGGATTGACTGAACCGGCAGATTGTGTAGCAGAACCAGCAGGATATTCCTGTGAGAAAGGAAATCAATGCAAAACTTTACAAACACAGTGGAGCTTTACAAAGTGATTATATAAATCCAATAAACAAAGCAATTTCATGTAGGGTTAGCATCTAAGCAGACAAGGACAATACCAGAGGAATAATAAACATGGGAAACAGAAAGGATCTAGTGATCTACATATGCATCAAATTATAAAACAATTTCCTAATCAGAAGACAATATGTTGGATAGTAATCACACAATGCAACCCCAATAAAAAATTACGAATATAATTTAGAAAAAAAATAGCATAAAAAGAAAAGGAACAAGACTCAATTAAAAACCTAGACATGCAGCTTGCTCAGCTAAGGTAACATCCATACACAGAAAACAGAAGGCAAATGCAAACACCAATTTCCTTTCCTCCTCCTCTGTTTTCTCAGCAACCAAATTCATCGAAAAGTAACATTAAGCCGATAAAAAAATGAAGCTAAAACTTGCGTAACAAACTGCGAAACTAAACCCAACTGATCCGTATAAACTTAAAAAAAAAAAATACCAGTTGGTTGAAATTGAAACCGTTTAGGTTGAAAGCCATAGTGCTAACACCTAAAGCAGTGAACCAAATACCTACAACGGGGTAGCATGAGGTAATATTCATTTCTTACAAGCAGCTAATAAGAAATCAGTAAGAACACGCTCATTTTCCTTTTCTTTTCTTTCTAGTCCTTTCTCAGCAACCGAACAGACACCAGAAGAATAAAAAGTAGCAAATGAATCGATCCATAAATGAAAATTAAATCAATAAATGTAAGTAACAAGTAATGACTATAGTTGAACTGAGATAGAGTTTAAAAAGTCAATACCTCGCCGTCTGTTGAGGAAGAGAGCTCGCCTTCTTCTCTGATTTTGGTCAGAAGCTGAGGTGGATTAGGGTTCTCAGAATTGCAAGGATTTAAGGTATCGGATTGGATTTTCTTAATTTCATCTCTGCTCTCCATTCTCTCTAAAAATAGAAGGCAAAAAAATGCTTGTTTCTTTGCTTGGTTTCCGTTTCTCTCTCTCCCTAGAAAATCTACAGTTATTTAATGACACGGTGAGAGAGAAAATAACGCAAAGGAAACGCTGAGGAAACCAAAAGGAAAGCAACGAATCAAATCGAATCGCGAGTGGCGAAACTGAGCCGGCACTGACTGTGAGAAGATTACGTAAGTGTCCTTAAATTTGTCATTAACTACTAACTTTGTCCTTCGTCCTTACATAACACAAGTTTTTTCCTTTTTTTTAGTAAATCGTTTAAAATACTTTTAACTTCCCTTTTTAGTCCCTCTAATTTTATCAAATTAACTACTTTTATTTCTCTATTTCACAGAACCAATTGAAAAGTCCAACTAAGAGGTCGCTCCGTCGTTTTTTTTTTCACGAGTCAACTGAGCAAAGCAGATTCAAAGGTAAGAGAAAAAAATATAAATCGCAGAGTACCCCAAAACAATTTAGAACCTCCTCTTCTTTATATCGTCAAAGCCAATAATTTAAAACTTACCCCCCAGATGATGTCGTGCTCTCGAATCTATCAATATTCATGGTACTGCTCCTTACTCCACCGCCAATACAAACACCAGCAACAAAGCCAATACTACTGTCAATTGAATCGTCATAAATATTAACAAGTTGGAGGAGAGTTATGGGTATCGAAGTGTTAATACTGATTGAAGCACCAAAATAGACTTAAACACTTCTATCTCAGGCAAACCAAATCGAATCTCAGAATTGGTTCCAGCCCGAGAAGGAGAAAAACGAAGAGAGTTAGAAGGAGAAACAAAATGATCAGAAGAAGTAGGAGACATGCGGCAATTGAAAAATAAACTTTTCACTAGAGACAGTGAAGATTAGTTTGGTTGGTAATATTAGTTCGGATTAGTCACCAAGAACGAAAGGAAAAAAAATAAAATTTTCTTTCCCTTCCCTTTCTCTCTTTTGAAATGAAGTTTCGATAAAATTTTTTACGAGAAGCAGCTATTAAAAATATTTAAAAAAATAAAAACTATATAAGTAGAACTAGTTATCGATAAAGAAATGAAAGGGAGATGGAATTGGGAATTTGGAAAATGAGGAATTAGAGGGACTGAGAGAGAACGAGGGTGAGGGGTGCTTTTGTCTTTTCATTAATAATTAACAGTGGAAATGGCTCTTTTTGGATTTTAGTTGAACGTAAACAAAATATAGAGATCTTTTAATTGGTTCAATAAAATTGAGGGACGAGGTAGTTAATTTGACTAAACTAAAGGGACTAAATATTACTTTTTTTTTATAATTGTACCCAAATTTATCTTAACTTTTCATTTACTTTAATTTTATAATTTTTTTTGTCATAATTGCATTTTACATTCAAATTATGATAAATTTACTAAGCAAAATAGAAATAAATTCTTTAACCCCAACATATTGGATGTACTATCAGTGTCCTAAATTTAAATTACGAAAAATTTTATTAAATAAAAAATAAAAAATTGTGAGTCTCGCATCTATACATAGAGTTTATCTAATCAAAGATATTAGTCAAGTAAAACGGTGTGTTCACTTCAACCAAGTCATTATAATATTCTTGTCCACTCATGTATAGTCAACTTTTGTATCCATCACTTTTCTCCATGCCTCCATGTCCTCTCTTTTTTCTTTGGCCACGAACCCCATTTACAAAGCTATTGCAAAAGTATTTTGCTTTGTTTCAAGTTTCGTTTTCTCTGGTAGGCAGGCCGGTTCAGTGAACCGATGGTTCTGGTTCCAGTTTATTAAACCGTCATTTGAGATATTTAAAATTTTAAATTGGAATCGAGCGTTGAACCTTCGGTTCCGGCGAACCGATGGTTGAATTACGGTTTCGATTCAGTTTCAGTATTAAGCAAATTTTTAAAAAAATAATAAAATTTTGATTCCAAATTCATCAATAAATAATAATTTTAAAATGTTTAAATTTTATTAACTAACTAAATTATTATAAAATTTTAAAAGAAAAACTTCTATTAACTAACTTAGAAGTATTATTACATTAAATTTACAAATTTTGCTCTCCTGGATTCAGTTTTGCAGTATTAAGCAAAAATTTTTAAAAAATAAATAATAAAATTTTTGATTTCCAAATTCATCAAAAATAAATAATAATTTTAAAAATGTTGTAACATTATTAACTAAACTTAAATTATTTATAAAATTTTAAAAGAAAAACTTCTATTAACTAACTTAGAAGTAATTAAATTACATTAAGATTTACAAATTTGTGCTCTCCATTTCATTTAATTATAGAAAAACTATAAAATGAAATATAAAGTTAATGGAAATGAGTTTTGGAAATTATTATTTTCAAATACTCTAAGAAAATTATTAAAAAAATTCAAAATGAAGTAAATTTATGCAATATGGACAAATTCCTTGAGTATTTTAGCAATGAAAGAATTTGGAATTGGATGTAACAAAATAAAAAAATAAAATAATAAATAATTTCAATATTAAGGAAATAAAGCAATAGAAAAAATAATGAACATGAAAATTGAGAGAAATTTTGATTGAGAAATAAGCAAAGTTTAAGATATAAATTTGGGTTGTTGAAATAAAAAATACTAACTCATCAATATTTAATACATTTTCTCATTTAATTAGTTTCCCAAATTAAATCCCTTATAACAAAAAATAACAACTATATTTTGGATATTTTAAGTAAATTATCGGTAAATAATAAAATATAAATGATTAAAAATGAATAAAATTTATTTACCAAAAAATAAATAAATAATATATATAATATGCAAAAACTATCTTGGTTACACTCTTTTTTTGTACACTTGAATTTTTTTTTTTTATAAATCAACTATTCATGTACCATTTTTGTACTAAAATAAGTCAATCATGTGTTTTTTTTTTTTTTTTGTACAAATTAAGTCAAATCATGTGTTTTTTTTTTTTCATCACTTTTTATAACTTATGTACCATTGTACTTCTCTTCACCATAAGTCAAAATCAAGTGATATAAATTTTTTTATAAAAATTTTAAGCTACAATTTTTTTATCAATCCGGTTCAGATTCATATTTTAACATTCACATGAACCTTAACCGGCCCTTGAACCGCAAATTCCAATTTAAAATTATGAACCACCGGTTCCGATCTGGTTCCAGTTCATCTACAGTACGGTTCGATTCCGGTTACAACCGAACCGGTGGCCATGCCTATTCTCTAGATTACTCTTCTTTTCCTTCACTAATGTAAGAAAATTTAAATTTAAGGTGTAAAAGTGTGATAAAAGGTTTGTTATAATTTAAATTTATGGTATAATTGGGACTATAAACTTGTCCTAATTTGAATTTAGGGTGTTGTTGTGATAGAAAATTAAAATTGGAGTATTTCAAAATTTAAGTTTAATTTGAGGCACAATTATGATAAAAAAAAAAAAGGTTGGAAGTATTTTAAATGATTTATTCTTTCTTCTTTTATTCATCATGAGGAAATGGTTACAAGTCACATATTTTATTTTAATTATTAGATAAAATTAATTACTATGAAAAAAACAGTTGTGAAATTGATTAATTAGCAATGGAATTTTTTTTTTTTTTTTTTTTTTGCTATAAAGCATGATGAGTAGTGTCGTTATTTGTAATTATATTATATAAAAAACTAGCAATATCCAAATAAAGTAAAATTGAAATAAATAAAGTAAAATTGAAATAATATTATATATAAATATTATATATATATATATATATTAATACTAATTATAGATTAATTATAGATTTTTAAAGGAAATTTCATTTATTATGCTGTTAAAAAATATTATAAAGACAAATCAATAAAAAAAAAATATAGCGTAATTTTTTATCGTTAAAGTAAAACTTAGTAGACAGAGATGTGTTCGAGAATATTGATTAAAAATATTGAAATTTATAGAGATGAATAAAAAAAAGTAAAATGAAATGTGAT